CTTTGCAGCTTCGCATAGAGAATATCCCGCAGCTCTTGCTTCACTTACAGTCACTTGCCAACTTCATGGAAATGCGAGGTCTAGAAACTGACAAGCTTGTCATTCTTCGCCTTATCGCTGATTACAATGAACTCTACTGTGAAGTATCTGGTCACAACGACATTGTGTCAACTTACAGTGCCTTGGGCCTCTCGTGGCTCCAACTTGGGTATTCTGGAAAAGCTGGATTAGCATTGGACAAAGCGCAAAGCTTTAGCTTGCGTAGCAATCTTGGTGCCAAAACAGATCTCCACATTGCACACTCACAATACATGTTAGCACTTGGAAACCTTGAAAAATGGTATGTCCACAAATTTTGATCCTCCAGAACCCACTGACATAAAATAGCCAGTTTCATCTAGAGTGTGCGGAAGGAGCCTTTGTTCTGGAACGAAAGGAACTAGAGGAGGATAAATCGCCTCTCAGTCTACAAGAAAAGACTCGACTGAATTGTGTTGTGGCGAAAGCTTCTTTGATTCGATCAATGCTTGCCATTGAACAGGGAGGCTCAGAATCTGCTCTTGTTCATGCTAAACAGAGCGTCAGACTGCTCAGGCGCGCATGGGCTACCACCGAAGCAATACTTCGGAAAAAGAAATTGGCGGCTGAACCCAGAGACGATGCGGAGAAAGTGGTGGATGGACTCTCACAACTTGATATTTCTACAAACAGAATAGCGGGTCAACCTCAGCCACAAGACAGCCCATCGGGAATTGGATTCTGGCCATTAGTCGCTCCTCTTTTCCATGGGTTGATTCATTTATCAAATCTTTACGCTCATCATGGGCTATTTCAAGAGACATTACATTATGGAGAGCAAGCTCACCAGCTCATTAAATCATTCAATTTTGATGGGCAGTCTGCAATAGCTTTGGCCACGCTTGGAAACATCTGGACTAAAGCTGGGAATTTAGACAAGGGCACCAACTACCTTACGGACGCGGAAAAGTTCTATAAAGACGGGACCAGGGGCAAAAGTTCGGTCACAGTTGCATGTCAAATTGGACGTCTCCGTGGAATGCTTGGAGATCGTAAAGCAGAAATTGCATGTCTGGAGGAAGCAAATCAAACTCTCAAAACTCTCATAGACCCTGCATTTCTTGCAACCCTCGAACTGGGTGATATTAGTACGCCGGATGTTCCTGATACCTTGGAAACCGGAATTCAAACGCTCTCTATATCAAAGCGAAAAGCGCCAGCCGCTCGAAAAACTACCACACGTAAGAAATTGCCAGTTCCCCGAAAGCCCGTCGTTCGTTCCAAAACTCCAACACCCGTGGAATCATCAGCCAGCATAGAGTGTCCTCAATTAGACTCTTTACGAGCAAATATTCTGTGGCAATTGGCTGACGCTCTCATGAGCGTGAAGAAAAGGAATGAAGCCCAGGTCTTCTTGGATGAAGCCAGTAAATACTCTAATAGCCAATTGGACGAAGTATATCAAGGTCTCTCGGAGGCTCGATGTTTGCTCGTACGATGCATGGAACAAATGGCCTCCGATCCTGTATACTCTGTACTTCAAGACTCAACTCTCTCATTTCCATCGGTTGTCGGAAGTCTGAAAGGCACGAAGAGCCACGCCGAAAACTCAAATCTCGTACAACAATCACCACCTAGAAAAACACAAACATCGAGAAGTGGTCGTGGGGCAAAGAGTCCAAGTCCGGATAACCTTTTTGACAAGTTACACCGAGCTCAAGAGATTCTAGTGGAAACCTACCCAGTTGCATTTCTCGTTGCTCCAATCTCTGTTATGCACAAGATAACTTCTCTCTTGAACAATGTCTCCATTTTGCTCTCTGCTGCAGGGCCAGTCAAGGGAAGATCTCAACCCGGTCTTGCAAGTTGCTCCATTGATTCTGCGCGTACTCTTGCATTCCGCAGAGAGCGTAAAGTCATCTTACAAGAGACTTGTATCCCAGAACTTGATGACCTACGATGGCCCGACTGTGGGGCTTTGTCCCAGCGATCAAGTCTCGGCGCTTCATTATCATTCTGCGATATTCCGAAATTTCAAAAGGAATATATAGATATCCTCCCCAAAACATGGACTGCCCTCTCAATATCTTTGAGCGAGAATCGTCAAGAACTTTCTATCACTAAATTACAAACCGGTCATAGTCCATTTGTACTTCGTCTACCTTTAGGGCGTAACAATTCCATGGATGCAGATGAAGAAGTATTTGGGTTTGAGCAGGGAAAATGCGAGCTCTTGAATATCATTGATTCTGCGAAGGTCAACTCCCAAAGCGGCCCTAGCAGGACAGGTCGTGAAGCCAAACTTGCTTGGTGGGCAGAACGTGCAGAGTTAGACTCTCGTCTCAAGGACCTACTAGAAAATATTGAGAAGGTTTGGTTAGGAGGGTTTGCAGGAATATTCTCTCAATTCACCAGAAAGTCAGACCTTCTCGCTCGTTTCCAAAAATCCTTTGAGAATATACTTGACAAGCATCTCCCTTCTCGTCGAAAGAGCAAGAGAAACTCTGGACCTCGTGTTACGTTAGACAGCAGGATTTTGGAGTTATTCATCGGTCTTGGTAATCCATCAGCAGATGATAGCGATTTTTCCGAACAACTGACTGATCTCTTATACTTCGTTGTTGACGTTCTTCAATTCCACGGGGAATTGAACGCTTATGCGGAAATTGATTTCGATTCAATCGTCATTGAAATCCATGATGCTCTACGTTGCTATCACGAAGCTGCTCATAGTTCGAGTCAGCACGACGAAGGGAAACATACTATCCTGATATTAGACAAGGCTCTCCATATCTTTCCATGGGAATCACTACCATGTATGGAAGGCTTAGCAGTCTCGCGTCTTCCATCCCTTGGATGTCTTCGGGACCGAATTTCTAAACAACAGAAAGCGTCAGATGAAGGTCCAGAGGGGCATTACATCGATCGCAATAACGGTGCCTATATCCTGAACCCCGAAGGCGATCTTAAGAACACACAAACCACTTTCCAAGCTCCTCTAGAAGCACTTCCTTCGTGGTCCGGCATTGTCAATCGTGCACCTTCTGAAGAAGAAATGAAATATGAGCTGCAAAATAAAGACGTCTTCTTGTATTTCGGCCATGGAAGTGGAGGACAATTCATTCGTTCTAAAGAAATTCGCAAGATGGAGAAATGCGCAGTGACAATTTTGATGGGTTGTAGTAGTGGTGCGCTCACGAATTATGGAGAATTCGAATTGGGGGGCCAGCCGATACATTATATGCATGCGGGGAGTGCGGCATTGGTAGCGACATTATGGGATGTTACGGATAGGGATATTGATCGGTTTGCGGGGAAGATGTTGGAGGGGTGGGGACTTTTGGGAAAGGAGGAGGAGAAAGGGGAAGGAAAAGAGAAGAAGAAGGGGGGAGGAAGAAAGAAAGGGAAAGAGGAGAAGGATTTAGAGGGTGGAGGAAAGTTGTCTTTGATTGAGGCGGTGGCACAGGCGAAGGGGGCTTGCAAATTGAAATATCTGAATGCGGCTGCGGTTTGTGTTTATGGTATTCCGGTTTATATTAGGGACTAGTATTGCCCAGGAGAACGTGTATATATGGGATGGAGGGAGTTGGGAATGGCATAAAAAACGGAGTGATAAGGAAGTGATTCCTTGCTAAAATGGCGTATGGATAGCATAGCGTTACGGTGTTTGAGGCATGGTTATGGATATGATTAGAGAACTGGTATGGTGTATATCCCTGTGTTTTAGTATTTATGATCGATTAACAACGCGTTTTATTCTTAATGAAACGTCTATTACTGTTCAGAGTAGCTCTAATACATTTGTTCAGTGTTTCAACCATTCTATTGATGAGCTGTGATATTTTGGTGGAGTGTTCAACATGCTGATCAGGATAACACGTCAATTTTCTGGAGACATTCATTTATGGATCTGTTGGGTACGCTTTCTCATTTTGTATCCGTTCAAAATATCGCCTTTCTTCAACATTCACATTTACCTACACATAATCAAATACATTCAATCATTCTCAGTCATCTAATCATTTCCATCTATTCAATCTCTTCTATATATATATAATACCTGTAATTCTTACCCAGATATTGAGAGTTCCGGAAAAGGATCCAACTAGGCGAGACTTGTACTGGATGTGTATTTAATAACGTGCAAATGACACGAATGGCGATGAAAAGAGACAGATGAGAAATTGGAGAGGGGTATGAACAGGTACACGGGGAAAAGGGAGTAGCGAGTTAAGATATGTAGAAGAGAAGTTGACCATGAATTTCCAAAACGACTGCATCTAGATTCTGGAAAGAAAAGGACTCGTCTCAATGTTCAGCGAGAGGAATGAATCGAGAGGAGAGAAAGAAAGAAAATAAAAACCGTCACCTGTTTCACCCCAATTGTCCATTTTTCATATATTTCGAGATACATTACTATTCGAATGTAGACAGAAAGTCAGTATCATCATCAAATTTCAAATTTCAAATTTTAGAAAGGTCTCGAGGAGCATTGATGTAAACTGACAGAAATGGGTGCACTGAATAATTCCTAGACACGTCTCTCATCTCACATTGCTCTTCTTTGCAGTATCGTTTGCCTGCTGGACTGTTTAATGTATCTTTAGAATACATCATAAAACGTAGAATAGAGGATTGCAAAACCTCCATGCTCTTTCTTCAAAACAAGGAACAGGAAAATGCCCATCTACTCTTTTCAAATCGATACTATACATTCAGAGCTGGAATCCCAAAGACAAAGACTAGAGAAGAAGAGTCGAGAAATAAGGAAAATCATATCATAGGTAGGTCAACTATCTATTCCAGAGCCTTCATATTCGCATTCGTATTCATAACAATTGATTCCCTCCTGATGTTTGCCATCACTCGCCTATTTCGAATCCATAACGCCTTGTCCTTATACACCATACTAGCCCAATATCATCCCAGTTTTCCCCTTCTCCAATATACATCCTATACCACAAATTTTCTGATGCCCATCTCTAATCATCCCACTCCTCATCCAATTGATCAATCAAACGGTTTTCATCCTCACTCCCCGAGTTTCTCCTCCCACTTTCATTTGCACTAACGCCTCTATCCCTCCCACTCCCTCTACCATTACTTCCATCTCCACAATTTCCATTTGCAGAGATACTCAAGGTGTTATATCCCCTATGAGTTGGTAAACATCTTGAGCATGATGAAGTAGCGATGATGAAAACGTCCTAATTAGTGTTAGTTATGCTTTTCGCCAAGACTTTTATTCTTCTGTATAAATGAATAGATAAGTGGATAGCGGTATACCGAGACAAAAAGAAATGTGCAAATAGCAATGTGTGATTATGGATGCAGCTTGACTTTGACACGCTTGTGAGGGTTTTCATTGCGATAAGTAGTGAAAAAGGAAGATTGTGATAATCTTTGATTGAAACGCCGGGTATTGTATGCTATAATGCTGAATGCCTATCCTAATTGCAGCCTGAAAATCGAAAAGAAAATGCTATGCTGAGTGTCGCTGTTCGCTCGCTGGCTCAATTATTTTGAATATATAAAAGAAAACTTCGTCCTCCCACATGAGAGAACTTGTGTTCCGTGTATAGAATTACTCAGAACGTATATACGACTTCTGCGACCTGCGATTTGACATTCCCCTCACCTCCATCGTCGGTAATATCGACGAACCATCCCGAACGGACGCTACACGGGGGAAGAGTTGTGGTGCTGATCTCATAAGACATTTTTTGCAGCTCACCTTTATGAAATCTCCTATGCTAGCCCAAAAGCTGTAATTGGGCAATTGCCTCCACCCTCTTGCATGCGCGACATTTCGTTGATAGAAAACACCACCGAGGAAATATACCAGTATAGCAATAACTCCTATGATAGCGAAGACAGCACCCGGACCTACAGTCTGTTTGGCAGGTTCGGAGCCTCCGCAAGCAGCTTGTGAGCGCACTTCAAAAAAATAGGCGCACTCTTCGGGATCGGTTCCTACGTATGAGGCGGATGCAGTAGCGAGTGGGTCTTTTTCGCAATGAAAAGATATTATGCTAGACTTCCGGCGTATGGATTTATCGTCATCGTCATCGTCCCAACTTCTTTTTTTGTTCTTTCCTCCACATGGCGATCCATTCGTATACTCTACAACAAGCTTTCTTCCGCGGAGTGTTAAATTTCCTGATTGTTGTCTGAAAGATGCTGGTTAATCTGTTTGTCCGTAACAATGCAAGAAAGATCCAACTTACCCTACGGAATACTTCTTTCCATCATATTCATAAAATGCGCTCACATTCTTCCAATGGTTTTTGTCTACTCCCACAAAATCCTTCACCTCTTCTACCACTGGCGCGCACACGTTCAGTGTAAAGTTTCCTTTGTAATCATATCCTCTTGCGTGCCAACTGTCTGTCTTCGCGTTTTTGGCAGGTTTCTTCCCTTCTTCTGGGGCTTGTATCGATAATGGTCTCAGATCAAAAAAAGACCCTGTCGTCGATGAAATAGTACATGGGTCAACAGGCTTGGGTTTCTTGTCCTCCAAGCCTGCACCTTCTACTCCAATGTGCAAGGCGAGTCCAAGCAGGAGGGCCGAGGGTAAAGATGTGAATCGCATGTTGGTTGGTTTCCCTCGGGAATTTTAGAATGGGTTAACCTCTACTATTCTGGGAGTTGGGAACGTCAGAGAGTAATAATTGTGGAAATAAATTGAGCTTGTTGATAAAGCTCAAGAAATTTGACCAAGGTATGATGTTATGTTGGAGCTTCCTAATGCTTTCCAGGTACCGAGGAGGACACATAACGGCAATGCACCAAAATAAGGTTTTGGCGCTTTACGTCACGTGCCATTGCATTTCATGAAGCAATTAGGAAGGTGTTCAATATGAAGCTACGTTCCTAGGTGTGTAGCAGATCAAATAGAATCTATGTTAAAAATTAAAGTAAAGCATGATACATTCTAACGATAGCAATTGAGAGTTATGAATGAAAGGCTGAGATACTGTGGTGACATTATTGCCTGCTGTGTAGCTACAAATTCATAGCAAAATAACTTGAAGTCTTTTGAAGTTTGTGTTGATCAAACCATACATGTAGAGAACTTGCTGGTACTAAAAGTTGTTACAGGAGTAAGTGAGCTCTTTGGCAGTCAATCAAAGTCTAAAAAAAGCCTCAAAAACTGGAGCTTTCAACCAACCTCCGAGGACTTAGTGTGAGCTTCTAGTACTGATATTCATTGGCCACTTCAGAGCCTCGGGGAGTTATCATGAGGAGTGGTTCTAGACATCGAATACCTGCTCCGTGAACCGTGAGCATCTTTCTATAGTGCCAAGATCAACAGGTCAGTAGACAGCGTGGTTCTGTACCACATGAGCCATGGCACAAGAATAGTCGTCGGCGTTGCGGCAGTTGCCATTGGAATTGGAAGAGCATTTCGGACATAACCTCAAAGATGAAACTAAATCATGAATGGAAGTTTGCAAGGTCGTGAAATAACAATATGCCTTCTCCATTGCAAGCTGTCCTTTTCATTTAAACACGTCATGGATCAGTGTGCTAGACTCCTAGAAGCGGAAAATCCCCAATAAAGGTATCCATTCATTGGCATCCAACCGGTTTGATCCCCTATCAAAGTCGAGACTCGAAATGCCGGAGGGGATCGAGTCGACCGAGGTCGACGATATAAGGCTCGGTGAAAACCCAGTAATAAGTCGTTTCTTGCTAAGATAAAGGGCCGTTTTTCGGGTCCGCTCATGAATTAATTCTTCGAGGTCCATTCTTTCAACCGAGTCCCAAGACTCAGTGACAGCATCCAAGGATTATCAGAGAGGCTTGGTTGGTGACTATATACTTCGATTGTACTTCTCTGAAAACTTCATTTTATCACGCGGCAAGTAGCCGCAGTTGTTCATGGACTCATGATGGGCGCATGGTGGTCATAGTTGCCGAATTCGGACCCCATTCTCTTGACCGAGAGATTGCGGTATCGGTGTGCACTTTGAAAGTAAATCACAGTCGAAAGTGGATGGGATGCATCCTGAGCTGAGAGAAATACTCAATTTTCGGCCTCGCAATTCGAAACGTCAGCTCTGATATATTCCCTCCTCGTTACTCAAGGATTGGTTCGGTATATAATATACATTGATGGAGCTTTCAAGGTCCATGGATCTTGAGATATGGACTCTACCGCGTAGCCTTAAAACCCTTTGATCTTAACCATTTGAGGAGATGAAATCCGAATAATCAAGTCCCACAGTCTCTCCGACTGATCTGCGTTTATTTGGCACATCTCAATTCAACGTGACAATGGAAACCTTAAAATAACAAAAGTGGGATGCATTTTGTCATGTCATGGATGATGTTATCATGGTACAGACCAGAAAGAGTTGATGCTTAAAATTCCATACATCTTAATAATCACAGCCTTGTGGCAACTAAATGTGTATTGGTTAATTAAAATCGGTGCGACAACAGTCAGTCAAACAGAAGGCTTTAAGTACAGTGCTACATTCCTGGCTGGACCTGCTGAAATAAGATAGCTTGGTAGATAAGGCTCCGTGGAGATATCCTTGACGTGATCATCTAGCTTGAATAGAAACCCGGGCTAGCTTACACTTCATACAAATCACATCTCTCATACCGAAAGTGTGAAGTACAAGGGTATTGTTCAAGGTTGGAAGTTAAAACTTAGCAGCAGATTTTTGCTTCAGAACCCCAGATATGTAGGATCTTACCTATAAATGATGAAATTGATGAATCATGAAGCGTGGACGCCCGCACGGTGTGGGTGAAGTACATATTAAGAGGGATGTGAAATGCCGTGGTGAAGGATTAGATATACGCGTGCAATATCCAAAGTGACTACTCCGTATAGTACTGACTACTTATACAAGCTGTTTGTAGACTGTGTGGTTTGGACTCTAAAGGCTGGAAGATGTGGAAACTTGCTCGTCTATTAAATCTCTGTATTTCGACTGTGGAATCTAACCCATTTAATCAACGCCCGCATCTTTTGTCACTCTTTTCTGGGCCAATTATAATTCATGGTGGCGTTTTGTATTGCTCCATTGTCAGATGGGAAGTTGGCCGCTGCCTTGAGAAGTTGAGAAAAGTTTCTCTTTGGACGACCTCAACTTACAACGAGCAAGTTGCAAGTTGCAGCCGAGTGAAAAGCCACGATAGGTAAGACTCCAATTGAACCCAGGCAATGGATCAGGATGTAAAGTTGCTATTTGGCAGGTGATCAAATCATCCATGCTCTGTAATTGTCATTTGAAGACATCCCGAATAATCATTGTGAATTTATGACGGCCGCGTCCGAATGATGACTTTCAGTCTTAATGATCAAGATGAATGACCAGATTCCCGGAAACAAACATGGCTTTACAGTTTTGATATTCATCTTGGGGGAAAGGGAACTTTTAGCCAAGTTCGTTGATGCAGTGAGGAGTGGTAAGCACTGGGCAAAGCGGAAGGGTAAAATGCCAAAAGAGCCATGCAAGCATTTACCATGGCAATGGTAGGATGTGGGTAGGATGTAACAATCACCAGTCCCGAGCACCACTCACATATTGTAAGAATGTAGACCTTATGCAAAATATCCTTTCAGGCAAATCAATAAGTATGTATGTATGTATGTGTGTATGTATGTGTGTAGCACAGACAAGCGAAGGAGAGAGCAAATCGACAAAGAAGCAATCAGGTCCGTAAGGGCAAATAGATGAATGACCAGCATTCTCAACGGTTTCTGAAGGGCCAAGCTTTGTAATGAGGCTGGTGTTGTTGGCATTGTATTGTCGCTGCCAGTGGTTCGTTGGTTCATAGAATAGATATCGAGATGACACAGATTTTGGTGGCTGAGAAACTTATGCGTGTTCAGATAATAATGGATGAAGCGTGTAGTGCGAAGTAGTAGCTTTCATGGAAGCCATTTAGAAGCCATTTAGAAGGCCATCAAGACGATCAGGGCCATCAATAGAAAAAGCTACACTCTCATTAGCACTCTCGCACTGCCAGTATACGACATCCGCGATTCCGCACCTGATTTAACCTTGCTCACTCTGGGTTAGTTATGCCGAGAAAGAGCCACAATTATAGTTTATGTGGAGAAAATATTCCTAGCAAGGTTCTATCGAGTCACGAATCGTGCATGTTCCTCTCCGCCTTTGCTGCAGTTTACTGCGTTTTCCTGCATCTCTCTGCATTCCTCGTACCATGATGGGTTTTGGCTTTACATTGTACGGTTACAATGTCACTTTATTGACCTGTACTCGACAGCAAGCCCCAAGCAGCTAACTGTGTATACTGGTCGAATTCCATACCTTACCTTACCTAATCTAACCTTACCTACCTAGCAAAGACAAAGGCGCACTCGTACCTACTTTGTATAATGCTACTCTGTGCAGTAGAGGACGATGTAGTTTCCAGTCAGCGACATTCCGATCGCGGTATGGAATCTGTATGGAATCTCAATTCTCCAATCAAGAGACCGTACTAATGGGCTCCATATTAAAAATCTTTTGGATGGATTCATCACAACTTCAAAAGTCCTAGTTCTTTCGGTCTTGTGCCTGGCTAACTGAATTCAAACATCATCTGAGATCCCGAGCTGCATCATCGTCAAATTGTCATTGCCAGCCCTTCTGATGATCCTCGTCGTCTCGTCTTTCTCATGGTGTTTTAGTCCACCGTAGAGTTGGCCCTTACTCGGTCTACTCATTCAACATTGTCCGTAGGATCATACTTCGTAGTTAGTCGTTGGTAGTCACCCACCAAACGGCGTATGTACATATATATATTCTTCCCCGTGAGTTTAACGAAGCCTCTCTCTCTCTCTCTCTCAGAAGAACACACTCCGTAGGTTGCCAAGACTCCTTTCACACGGTAACCTTGTATTCCAATTCAATCATGTTCATATTATTGCATTTTTAGATGAATAGCCCGAGCCGCACCAACGCCAACACCGCAAAAATTCTCTTCTCTGTTGGCGGAGTTCAAACTAGTGGATCCCAAACTACCTGGTACTCCTTAACTAGTTGCTAGAAGAATTTCCCAAAAAAAATAAAAAATACGTATGAACCTTGGAACTAGAAACATCATCAAGAAGCAGGGTTCTGACTTATAGTAGTGTACCGTGCTTTCCGAATCGGATCTGATTCAAACCCCTCCCTAACCGTGAAAAATATTCTCCTCCATCTAAAAGGAAGAAGCTCCTCAACTGAGTTTTCATTACACAACTTTTTGACCGAAGTCTCACATTCTTATTACTCTATCTTTTACTCTATCAATCATTCCCCAATACATTGTAACTGTATCAATCTCTATCACGCAACCACCGGTTCATCTCAGGCTCTCAGCCTCGTACGCCATCCCTACCTTATCTCCAGTTCCCAGAAATTCGGGAGTCAGTGGAACGGCGCCTATAGGGCCATATAGCATCTGATAACGAGTAGTCTATTACTGTTTTTAGACGCAACCTCGCTGTCCAAGCTTCTGTCAAGCATTCATACTGTACTGGTTGTAGGGTGCATTCACTCTTTTAATTCGTTTGATCTGTATAAATTTTTGCCGAGGCCAATACCTGGGGCCAACAAAAGGCGGGGTTCAGAAATACCATAGTATCACAATTTCTCCCCATTGAAATGGCAGACATCTCAACAAGCATGTCTATCGACGCAAAAGAATCCGTCCGAGAGGGCACAGATGAATCTTTGGATGCCTCTACACCAGAGGCGGAGACAGAAATCCCTCCAGAAAGTGTTGGCCAACAAAAGAGGAAGGGCGGCCGAAAGCCTGTATGTTGATAGAAGATGCTCAGCTCTGTAGCACCCCTTTGCTAATGCGATCCCTTAGATTTATGCTACTTCAGAGGAACGTAAACAACGCAATCGCCAGGCGCAAGCAGCATTTAGAGAGCGTCGCACAGAGTATATCAAGCAACTTGAAGAAACCATCAGAGTTCATGAGACGAACCTTCATAATCTCCAGAATGCTCACAGAAGTGCCGCTGATGAGTGTCTGATGCTCCGATATAAGAACTCTCTCCTTGAAAGAGTTCTTCTAGAGAAAGGTGATTACGTCGATGAGCTTTCTTTCGAGCATAATCTAATTATTTTGGCAGGAATTGATGTCCAAGCCGAACTACGTGCGAAGACAGGAAGTCCTCACCTTGGCCCAACGCACATGCAACAGAATATGGCTCAGCCACCTACTGTTCAGCGTGCCATTATGAATAGGCATCATCAAGCTAGACGATCGAACTCGAGCATTGCGCCGAAGCTTGAGCCCGGAGTCTCTTTCCATGCCAACCAATCGCCACAGTCAAGACCGACTCCACCCTCGCACGCGTCGTCGCCAACCACAAGCTCGCCAGGCTTCAACAATCAAGGCGTACTAACTCCACCTTCTTCTGACTCTCAGATGCAGCATCAACAGCAACAACGCCTTCATGCCGCTAAAACACAAGCGCAGCATGCATTGTCAAATACTACCGGACTTCTCGTTAATACTAATGTAGCATCGCCATTAGGGGCAAAGGGGCAAGGAAATGGCAATGGTGCGGGTAATACAGGAGGCGCTCCCGGAGCTCCTTCTTATTATCCGTCATTCCAAAATCATATTGAGCAACTCGGCAAGCTGTCCCGTCCCCTGTTATCATTTTCTTTTTTTGGAACTATGTTCGTCCTAGATTGATTCCGTGAGTACAGAACAGGAGTACGATGCGCAAGCCGACATGGTTGACGATCAACCCGAAATCTCAGGGCCCGGCCCATATCCCGAATCGATTCCCGCTGGTCAACTCAACCAGCAACTCGGTCACCCTCCACACTCGCAAGGTATGCACGGCGAAAACACGCCTCAGGCCTATAGTTCAATGACGCAGTTACTCGATCCTTACGACCCGGTACTCGACATGGACCCCTTCGGTCTTTCGGCAAGCATGCAATTTCCAACTCAATTCTCTTTCGACACGAGCTCAATGCGATGAGCCATCATCGTTCATGATACCCACGGTTGGGCATAATCTCTCCTACGATTTCGGCTGGCGTTCGAGTAATGATAATCGGTTTTGATGTCTCGTGGGATCAGGCAATGATTTTTTTGGTTTTGGGGGTTCGGTTTGGGAGCATTTGGAATGGAGTTTAAAAAAACAAAAAATGGAAGGGACGGAGCAAAAAAAGTTTATGAGCAAAGGCTTTGGCAGATTCGAGTTGCTATCGCATGAATAGCATCATTCGCATGTCTTCGCGACAATCGCGGTCATGAGCACGGTCGAAATAAGCACTGTATGTATTGAGCATTTCATTATCTCATGATGGAGATGGCTTTCACGATGGATAAGGAAGATCTGTGAGCATACTTAAGGGCAGATATGGGCGGAGTAAGTTCCATGAACGGGTATTCCTGCCTGGCGACAATGGCAGGAAGAAAAAAGCATCCACAAATGGAAATATATTGGATGGTTCCCTTTTCTTTAAGATACATTTTCAACGGCACTGTCTTTCATTTTCTCATTGTTCCTCTTTCTTTCTGTCATTTGGATTGGTGATCGTTCCCTCATGAATGATACCATAATCTCTCTTGGACTATACGTTGATGTTGACGTCTGGATGAATGTAAAACTGTACTTAATTACGAATGAATGATAATACCAGTAAACGAGCGATTAACATGATAATTTGATATTGTCTACAGTACCTGCTAACTCCACGCAAGAAATTATAAATAAAACAAGTTGATACTTTGCTCTGATTAATTTCTTCAACCATAGAAATTGTTAGACAATCCGCGAGATATCAATCTTTATCTTAAGAAAAAAGTTGTAATGTAATGTATTGGAATCCAGAACATCTGAGGTCGCCGCCTCCATGAAATGTGATCAACAAGAACAAAGACAATTGATGAATCATGGCTTGGAAACACACTCCATGTTGCACAAATGATTGTCATACCTACATAATACCTACCTAGGTATCTATGAACCTATCATTATTGAAGTCAAATGATTCCTCAAAGCTTATTCACTAATCTTTGTTAAATTAACATCCAATAATCTTAATGAGAAGTTTTCAATTCTGCCATCACTACTCTATCACGTCTATCACTCACCATCACCTATCACTACAATCAAAGCAATTCTCGACTTTAACCCCACATCTCAGCGAAATATTGGAAAGCCCTGGTGGGCTGCTCGCTTATATCCAACACTAAACTAAATTAAGTTTAGATTCTTTGTGTACTGAGGAACGAACCGACTTTTCAGCATCAACGACGATTTACAAGTTTACCTTGTTCACCAACCGCAAATCAGCAATTCTCGAGAGACGGCTTCCTTGTGTTCAGGAATCTGTCAGTCTCGTTTTCTAAACTCACAACCCCCGAATTGTTCTCTCGGTAGCAAAAGCTTCTTCGGAGGCACTCGAGAAGCAGATCAAGATGTCGGGTATCGCTTCCAAGGTAATTATTATTCTCTCAACAATCAACAATAAATTTTTCATGCAGTTTGCGCTTGAAAAGATGCGCCGCAGATTCAGCCATCCATCGACTTTCAGTTCTTTACGAGTTTCAAGGCTAATATGAATCAATGTAGAACCTTTACGAGCTTCTCGGTATGCACGAATTTACTCAGAAAACAATCTTTGAAGCACGAGAACTGATCAAATATAGGCAACGACCACGAATATGATTCCGACAAGGAGCCAGAGCCACCAGTGAAGGTTGTCGATAAGACTCCAGCCCGCAACACCAAGCGCAATGCTACTGGAGAGGCCCCAGCAGCCAAGGCTCCTGTAGCTGACGGACGTGGTGCTCGTCGTGGAGGATACTCCGGAAACGAAGGTGGTTAGTACATGGACAATCTCAATTTGCACATATCAATACGTCCAGTTTTACGAAATATTTGAGGTAGGTGCAGTGGTCAATAAGAACAGAAGCTAATGCTATTTTAACAGCATTCCGTGATCGTAACGCTGGCAGCGCCAACAACCAAGGCAAGCCAACCGATGACTCTGTCAGACAAGATCGTCACCCAAGACGTGAAGGTGGTGGACGTGGCCGAGGTGGTGCTCGTGGAGGTGCCAAGTTCGATCGTCACAGCCGTGGAGTCGGAGGGTAAGAAATCCCCTATGATACAAGTGGTAGCACAAAATACTGACACTCTAAAAGTGATTCCGAGAAGCAAGCTGCTCATGGCTGGGGTGCCACCGAAGGTGGTGCTGAGCTCGCCGATGAGCAAGCCGGTGAAGCTATTGCTAAGACCGAGGCTAAGGAAGATGGTGAAGCAGCTGAGGCCGCCGCTGAAGAGGAGCCAGAAGACAACAGTGTCTCCTACACCGATTACCTCGCTCAATTAGAGGAGAAGAGAGCCGCACTCAACGCCGCTACCCCTGAAGCTCGCAAGCCAGACAGCAAGCTCGACAAGAAGTGGGCTAACGCCAAGCCTATCGCCAAGGAGGATGAGGAAGACTTCGTCGCTGGAACTGGTGGCAAGGCCAAGCGTGAACGTCAACGCACTCAAAAGCAAATTGTTGAGATTGATCAACGTTATGTTGAACCCACCGAACGTGCTGGTGGTAGAGGAGGATTCCGTGGAGGCCGCGGACGTGGTGATGGACCACCACGTGGCGACAGAGGAGGTTTCCGAGGACGTGGTGAGGGCCAACGTGGACGCGCTCGTGGCGATAGAGGCCCACCACGCCAAAGTGCTCCAAGAAACGGAGGTGCTTCTGCATCCATCCAACTCGAGGACCAATCTGCTTTCCCAAGCCTTGGCGCATAAAGTTTCATTGAAACTTAACATGCCGATCTTTCACAACATGGCACAACATGATATGTAGAAATGATCTCAAAAAATTTGTGTTTTACGCAATCGTTATATGAGAAACAAAAAATTTGATTTAAAAAAGGGCCAAAATTGCATTGTGAACTGGTTAATGAAGGATTTTGCTCATAATGAATGTACAGAGAAGCTTCTACAAATACTAGGGACGTATTGGCTCTCAATGATGTTTCGTGATGGGACGTTTCTCTTTTCCATTTCAACAACTTGTCTTTTTGTCTTTCTTTGGTCTTACCTTGCGCGGGTGGTTATGTGACGGTCTGGGGGTGGGATTTGGTTACCCGGGCTTTTCTTCGCATTTCACTTGCTTGTAACGGTAGATAAAATGAAACGGGCGCTTTCTCTCCATTTTGGTTTTGGGGTCTTGATATCTGTTTGTTGCTTAGACCTTGGCTCTTTGATAAATGCATATCAATGGGAGGAGGAAGTAATGAAGTCTAGCTTGAATGTTTTTCTATCCATGGAGTGAGATAGGTACGTAGCAAGAGCTACCAAGTACATGACACGCCCGCTGTCTCGTGGTAAATCTCAAGTCCCTGTCTGTATATATGTAGTCGGTTATGGAGAAGGTATGTCCAACAAAGTTTAGGTTTACAAGTCCGAGGTTTCCCGAGTACATGAGTATAAAAGCCTTTGTACCCCTTTTGGCACTGCTTTCAAGTCTTTTTAAGTGGATTACATAGGCGGGAGTAAAGCCTTAGTTTTCTGTCGTCCTTGGAAGAGACTAGGTACATTTCCTTATTGTAAAGCCTTTTTTGTTATAATTTGGGAATAAAGATGTCCTTTTATTCATGATCATTGCACGACACAAGCACATTCCAAAGGAATCCGTCAATGTTTTCGTTTGCATCTCCGGCTGAGCGAGATCTCATAGCTTCCTGAGGATGTTCGGTTGGCTATCTGGGGAAGTATGTTAAGAGGACTATGTGGTTGGGTCTGTCTGATAATGAAGAATTATGACTTAAGTGTCTGACTTCTCGCTACTGCTAATGGCAGATACCTTACTTTATACTGTGGAAAGCCTCAGTATGGTCGTTGGCGTCGGTATGTTTCTGGGAGTTCTGTGGTTTCGACTCCAGTCATGTCCTCGATGTTCAATCACATGTGCATTCCATCATCAATTTTTTTTCGAAACGATTGATTGAGGGTGTGGCAAATCAAGCGCCGACATTCACAGGTGTTTGTCAAGCACGGGTGGTGGCTTGAACCTGGCGGTTCATGTGTTGGAAGGCAGATTTTCGTTTAATTATTCCACATCATCGCCATCTTATCCCATCTAGTATTGCTAAAGTCCTTCACGTCTTGCATGCTCTACCACGGAATGAAGAGGACTGGGACATTCATTCAGTCCTGCTAACATGCCACGCTTCAAGTTCAGGGTTAGAATAGCTTTGTGATGGGGCAAGGTGATCGTTCCGGTTCGCAAAACACGACGAGTATATAAGCTACAGCAACCACATCTCTTCCACATACGACCATAGACTGAAGAGAATTGGGCATCCCGTCCGCTCTGCCATACACAAGCTTCAGATCGGTGGATTAGTAGTTGGGTGGGTGACCACCAGCGAATCCCCACTGTTGTATGTTCATCTATTTTTTTATTCCCTTGAGGGGGCGGAGACGAGGGGATATCCAGATGTTGGTTGGTTTGCCCGATTTGGTCCCTGCCAGGAGCGTCTTTTTGGCACCACTTTCTGATAGTTAGATCTGATACAATGCTCCTAATGTTTAATTTAGCGCCGTTGTTGATTTGATTTTTTCTGGGACCATCGGTCATTTGTTTGGTTTTGAGTTCTGCTGCCGTTGAACGATTTCTCATCGTGAGATTTCTCGTTTGATATCACGGGCATGTAGTGCTTTCATTGAAAACTTGAATATTCCCATTCTACTTCCAGTGATAGAATCTTCATTCTCCTTCTACATGGATAGGAAGTTCAAAATGGGTTTACCTAGGAAAGTATATACTGACTGTCGGTACGTGAGATGAGGAACTCATATTTGTAATTCTGATATATTTAGATGTATCTAGAGCTATATATTGTTCTGAGGCTCTCTTGTATACCATTTTACTTCCCTTGAATATTGCTCTAGCTATTGAATAGTGGTATTGCTGATGTGTGAGAAAGGTGAGTGGAAAGAGTTCCTGGTGAATAACGTCATGATGAGGGGGAAAAGGTGACGGTAGGTATTCATTGTAAATCGATATTGAGGTGTTCTGGCTATCGATCCATTCAACTGTATTCTTGCGGGGAAGAGTTATGTTTGCCTGAGTGATGGACAAGATGGATATCCAATACGAGGGGACACGGTCTGTCGTATTTTCGACTAGGACAGAGAACCATTACTGGACTGAGAACGAATTGCTACGAGTAAAGAATCAACGATTGAAGATGCTGTATTGGTTACGAGAGGCTAGCAGGGGAAAATGAGAATCTTTGCTTCACAAATTCTAGCAATGGCGGTCTTAAGGTGTTCTGGGTTCTCTGTCTTCCGAGGACGATGCAGTCTACGACGTGGATATGATATGCACTCTCCTGTCTACTTTCGTGCAAATATTCTAGAGTAGTATTGATACTATGTCAATTTAGAGACAATTTAATGACTTGCTTGCGGGGCACTCCAACGCTTGATATGGTAAGCTTCGCCACGGATTAAAGTGACATTCAGCTTGACAACATATAGCTGGGCTTTGTGGGCAAATTTAACAGATTTGGCTTGTCGCTGCTTGACCCTTGCCGCTGCTAGACAAATAGTGATGAGTATTGATCTTTGTATTATTCTCTTCTCGAGCACAGAAGCTCATCTTCCGTCATACTTTAGATGCTTGAGTCTACTTCAATGCCGTCATCAATGAGTGCTACCTGACAGCGTCCTGTCCACCTCTATCAGGATCTTAAGGAACCATTCAACAAACGAAGCTGAAGGACTTGAGACAAATTTGTTGCCAGGGGAAATTGAAGGATATGACAGAGATCCCCACAAAAATGACCTGGATGAGACTGATGAGACATGCCCTGGGTAACTTTCATTCTGCTTCAAGGCTCCCGTTCCAAGAACAGCAGCCCATTTATGCTCTAATTCACGAGCTTTTCTGAATGGTAAAACCCGCTCTCTCTGGTACTCCGCATCGCCTAATTCGCAATGGACATGATCCTGCAAGTTGATGAATAGAGAATTCGATTCTACCCATCCCGACAGATTCGCAAGTTCGCTAACACCAAAATTGGAGATATAGGGTTCATTAGACAAAAAAGTATGTGTGCATTACGCTTCATATGCAAAATGCAAAATGACACAATCATCAAGATATAACCATTGCTGAAATTCCCCACCACATATTCGAATAAAGATGTCCCGAACTGACGACGGCGAAGAAATCGACAGTCGTGACGAGGGGGTAGTCTTTCAAGAGCCGCAACTTTGGAGCGCTCACAGTGTGCTCTCTTCTTCCTTGTTCGTAGACAGGCTACTTTGCAGTACCTCTCAGCCAGATCCTCTGTGAAAACTTCCCAACAATCGCTTTCATCCATGTGCACAACAACTGTACTCAAAAACGAGACAGAAAAAGGTAGGTGAAAGGCGTTGTGAGATCATACTTAGTAAATACAAGCAAGCATCTTGATTCTGCAAAGTAAATCCTCATCTCTTTCCACCTATCTTCACTTCCCACGCATCTTTTGACTTTCTACGTCCTCTCTACTTTCCCCATTCCCCGCATCTTCCCACGAGCACAAATAAATATACATAATAGAGTAAGAAGTATCTTGACTATCCCTCATGAACATTTTCTTTCCATCAGGATATCAAGAGAAATCAAGATAGCTCAGCACCGACGATCATCCAAATGCCGAAAGGCCATGAGCACCGTGAAAGAAAGTCCGATGTCTAATATCCAGCATCGAAGTTATACCATAATAATCTCCGAACTGTGATCCTCATTCATGAAGAAACCCTTTCCCCCCTCACGTTTTTGTTGCTTCTTTGACGTTCTGAGATCGCCCTTTTCGATATTCTTAACTCCTTCATACCTCCACCTGAAAAAGTATTTTGAAGTTCCCGTTAGACAGCTGCAAATCAAATATTTGTCTGAGGTATTGAGCGTGATACCCGTAAGACCACTAGATCATAGGTTCGACAAATCATTACTTCTACACCGAGTTTTCAGTTTTCTCTCATGGAACTGGGAGATTCTCATGGCAACCTTCGATTGAAGTAACCCATTCAAGAACTGTGTGAAAAAGGTCAACACTGGAAAGTCAGCTGCCATGTATATATCCAATCACCCAAAACCTAAATCCAATGTCTATACAATATAGTTACAGCGACAGCTTCTTGTGACCTCATCCTGTCTAACCTTCTCTCATCTGTCAATATAAACACTTACTCAAAATCGCTCTAATGCCTGGGATATACGCATCACATGAACTATCCCCGAGCAATACCACCTACCCAATACATAGGTATCCAATTCTTATATCCATAACCAACCCACCAGAAACACCACTCCGCCATTCAGTTTTACAATTACTCCAAAACACCACCCAAAGCCCCTCCCTTCGAACCCTCCATCTCTTTTCCCGCATTGATATCATATGCCTTCCCAGGCTTCTTCAGCCCCTGTTCTCCATCCCCATCAATATCACCCACCACTTTCTTTTCAATTTCCTTGCGCGAGTTTTCTTCCGAGATGCGTTGCGTTTCTCTGGATGCTTCGTCGCTTTCCCAGTCGTAGTTTCCAGCGCCTCCTCGCTGTGTGCATAAATCTGTCAGCTAATCATTTTCCAATTTCTTCTACATTGCCATGTTCCTCGTCTCAATTCCTGCCCCCCCACCCCCCAAAACCTCTCTCTCCTGCACTAGTGAAAAGAAATCCAAAACTCACCCCACCCTTGTAAACAACACTCTGCATACTACTCCTCACATTTCTTGGCGAGCTCGATGGGGGCGCGGGATTAATCGTCGGGTTATCATAATTCGTCAATGTTTGCGTGAGACCTGAATTCACGAGTGAAGCGGGAGAGGTGAAATTGCCTGCGCCGCCGCGACCGGTGTCTAATTTTGAGGTGTGAGCTAGTTCTCTCTTACTTGGAATTAAGAGAGATGGAGGAAGAACAAACGTTGGTATTCTGGCGGTGGCCCAGCGGCGCCTTTGGAGCGCAATGCTTGTGAGAGTAAGGAGGAAGCTTTGTTTTGATTGATGGAAGAGGAGGAGGATTGGGCTTCAAGATCCTATCCGCGGGTTGGATTAGAGTGTGTTTGATGTTTGGATTGAGTGAAGGCGAGAAGGCGAAGATGAAGACGACGCAGTTCTGAATGATGCAGGAGAGGGATGAAGGGAATACAGAAAAGAAACTGCATTATACATACAGAAGTACCATTACTCCTCTCTACATCCTGTTTGCTGTAGAAATTCCCCGCGCCGCCTCGCCCTACTTTCTTATATGCTTCTTGGGACATCTCTTCTTGATTTCGCCTTTGGAATTAGTTTCCTGCTCTTTCTTCCGCTTTTGGGTATATCGTTTAGCTGTAAAAATAATTAATCTCAACAATGAGCGAATTATCACTATATATGATCAATTGATGGAGCAATCAGCGGTGTTCGCAAAGAAGTTGGTAAACAAGTATCTATATTCGCATCAATTCGATCAAAAAAATAAAAAATAATGACGATTTTCCTGTCTTTTCTTTCTTGCAAGATCATAAAATCATAGATAAGATAGATAAACATTTCCCACTCCTCAGACCTTGACTCATTCTATCTCCATCTTCCAAGCAATCAATTACTCTCCTAGGAATTAACTTTCTGGGCATCAACCACTTGTTTGTTTTTTCTCCCGCGCAAGAGCTTCAAGAAGGAGTTACCTAATACCGTCTATCAATGTGAAGTAGTACACACCCGGAGATTTTGCACGCACATGCAAAGGAGATCTTTTTCTTCTTTTCTGGAAATACCGAGAGGGCCGATTTGATCGTTTGGCGGGGTAATTCGTGTGAGGGGTAAATAGAGGGAGGGCTTATTTAAGGTGCATTTGGTGTCTCTTCCAAGTAAATACGAGTGCATTCATATAAATTCTGTATATGTGTCTTCTGACCGGAAAGTGAATATAGAATACCGTACTTTGTTACAGAATGCAAGCAAGCAGACAAGCAGACAAGTAGACAAGCAAGAACCGGTAGCTACAGGATGTCAAAAATGTAGTGCAACACATTCTTGTCTTGTCTTGTAGACTTGTTATACACAGTGTGCAGAAAATGTTTTCCCCTCATCTCATCACACAATGGCTTGAAGAGAATTTTCGGGGTTTCTTTTTCCCATGTTTCTTCTGCAATACAATACTCCCTCCAAGCCTCTTTCCCAATATATTTGTAAGAAGAAGTGTTTGTGCACCGAGATAACGCCTCCTACGCACCTCTCTCTTCTCTCTTACCTCCTACATCGGAAGAACCCCAGTTGGATTTAACAAATACAGTATATCTCTCTCACGTGTGTGGTATTCCAGAGTTTTGACCTCCTCCTGTGGCAGTCGATGCTGGAAAGCCGACAGAACCGAAGGGAGATTCTTGGTTGATGCTGTAAGATCTTAGTAAGAATTCTGTCGGTTTGCGGTGCAGACCACATCGTTCTAGATTGTTCAATGCGATGGTGCGGGTACCATCGGGCTGTTTTGCTGATTCCCCGAGGGAGAAGTTGAATGAGTATGTATGATAACGTCAGTGTGTGGATCCATTCTGCTGGGTGGAAGGTTTGAAGATGTATGGAAACGTAAGGTCAATTTCACATAGAATACCTAGATACCTAGACGACGAGGGATGGCTGCTAGTATTTCACGGGGTGTGGCGCCCATAAGATGTGTCTACTGGAAGAAAAGAACCAAGTCCATCATCACTCACCACAGCACACAAGACGTATGAATGTGTTTTAGCTATGAGACCTTATGGACTACAGAAGTAGAATACATCTTAGGTTCAATGTCACTCTATGCCACTCTCTGCCACTATCACCCCATCACGAGGGGAAGTGGAAGGCCTCACTATAGAACATCAATAACTCATCCTTTACTCCGCCATAAGAAATATCACCCACCCCATCTCGTATATTGTGTGCTGCCGGTCATACAGAAAACATCCATGAAAGGTAACATGATCCTGCATTAGCAACCACCATTTTGACGCCCATGCATGATATTTGGAGCAAGGATGGAAATATTTAATTGGAAAATGTTTCAAAAGATAATGAGGTAGAAGATCAATTGATATATAAATATGGAGAATCTTAAAACAATGTCATCTCTCAGAACCTGTACATCAAATTCAAACCATGGAAACCGTAAACTCATCCCAAAGTCCCCTTTCATGATTGAGAATGTATCATCCAGGAAGCTTGGTGGTAACAAATAAAGTCTTGGTCGCATCCCCAAAAATTCATCATGTTCAATTCCACAATCCAACCCTAGAATCTCCAAGATCTCTCTTCGATTTTTCCAGAGTCACATGGAGGAAGCACCAACTGTTATCAATTAATCACTAGCCGTCGATTGCTCAGATCCAATTGGAAGTTCAGAGTTCCTAATCCATTTTCCGAAATCATTTTAGGATTTATACTTATCGAAAGGGTAAAAGAACAAGCTATGGTTGATAGTTTGCTACTTATTTCCAGCTGTCCCCTCCCCGCCCTGAAATAGAATGATAAAACCCATGCGAGCCATGCCTGTAGCCGCTGCGGGAAGGTCTCATAAAAGCAATTGATCGACACAGTCCTTCTATTTTGTTGTTGTACTCTGTAGGCTCGCAGCGAATAACAGATGGGTTTTAAAGGTCGTGGGGATGGATTCCGAGGATTCTTGTATTTGTTCGATCCCTGGTAATATTTTATTTATCCTTGAGTTAAGAAGGGATTGCTCAATTTCAAGATACAATCTCGAGATAGTTGACCAAATATGCATCCAAGAACCAGGGCATATTGGTATCTTTATGCTAATCAGCGCGATCTATCCGTCTAAGAAAAATAAGCAGCGATGATCTTTACCCCCTTAGAGAAGAGCATGCGCATAGTCAACCAGGTATTAAAAAGGTCTAGAACCATTCTTTCTGCACTTCCATTTGCTTCGTTTAATCTTTGGGTTTCTCGGAATTCTCCCATTCTCATTCTCATTCTCATTCTCATAATCTCATCCTCATTCACAATGTCAGAGACAGAGTTGGAGGCGAAAAGTTGAAAACGTAAGAAAAATCGAATTCGGTTGGATATTTTGAGCACGCGGGATGGTGAGTGTTTGATTTTTTGGATATTAGGGACGGGCGGCATGATTGATGTCTCGGCGCAGGAACAAAGATTTCCATGTCGGGGGATGCAAAGAAAAAGAAAGGCAGCAGAGACAACAAATGATAGCTGAGTTGTACCTTACGTATGTTTAACTGTCCACGCGGGTCATCTTACCTCATATTATCAGCCCAAAAGTAATCTTTGGGTTATCAATGTTGTAGTATGAGCTTAGGAAAGGTAAAAATTTCCCAGCGTCTATGAAATGAAGTCGATGTCTAAATCTGTACTGGACTACCTATGTAAAGATTGATCAAATCGTTTCGGCTCGGTTCGCTCCTCCACTTGTGCAAGATGGCTCCGGGGAAAGGAATTAAAATTGCAGGACCGATTGTCAAAGTATTCTAAGCAAATGCAAAAGTAATATGGCAAGCTGGAAATTTGCATATGGAAGGATATCGTGTTGACAGGTCTGAAGTTGATTACCTAGCCGAGGATATTTGGGTAGGGTTCTTATCTCAAGTTTCTAGAGAGTAGATACGAGTAGGTGGCTTCGATGGAAATGTAAATCTGCAAATGTGCAGGCCGGTGGTAGAAATACAACACGAACACGGAGTTGTGAACTGGCAATAAGACAATAATAAGGGGCATACAAATGGGGAGGGCAACCTCCTGAACCTCCTGAATATCTCCTGAAGATTTATTTCTTATCAATTCATCAAAATCTGAATCAACGTCATGGTATTCTGTACGGAGTATGGAGAATTTTAATTTAAAATAACCTTTGGTATGAGTTCATCGGGCCCATTTCATCAATATGCAAAATAATTTGTGCGTGCCATCGCGGCTGCGATTGCGCTTGATATTACTATCAATCCATGTTAGTTGCATCCACACTTGAAGTTATTGATATTGATAATATTGATACCAACATTTGGAAGGGGGTAAGATGTGTACCCAATTGAAAAGGAGCAAAGACTGGGAGAGGGAATGATTGATATTGGGGGTGGAGGGATGGGAGTCTTTTCTTTACAAAGTACCTAGTCTTAGGAGGTTAGGAAGTTAGGAAGTTAGGAAGGATACTTATTCCAAAATTGTCTAGATAGACCGCGTATACGATCGAGACGATTTACTCTAGGACCTCAAGGAGGCGAATATTCGCAAGCCAGGTGAGATGGATGATCAAACCTCACTATGAATTTTACACTGCCTCTCTACCTATATGTTGGTTACCTAGGTAGATATGTCACGGATCCCTTCTACATCTTTGTTATGGGTTAATAAGAATCAGATATTCATTCTACTCTATGGACACCGGACCATGATTTGAAGTTCCCAATATTACTTAACTATTATTATTAGCCCTTGATTTTTAAGAACAAATTGAGTGAGTGAGATCTTTACCTCAACTTTTTTGCCTATATACCTTGCCTTTACCTACCTAATTCACTCAATCCATCCATTTCCTTGTTCTCAAATCTTGAATGCATTTCGCAGAGAAGTGTATGTGTGACGCTAAAATGCTATAAATGTATGCGTATGGGTGTCTGGTGATTCTTATCCGTAGAGTAGATCAATCAATTGAGGTCAACTGAGAGGAGATTTCCCATGCAATGAACGAATCCAATTAAATTGAATAAACAGACAAAGAAACCTTGATGAGCATTCTCCTCTCGCTGCATTCTTAATTGGGGAACAAAATACATTTATTATTTATTGCCTTGATTTTTTTTTTTCTTATCTCCAATGATTTGTTTTGTTGAAGACTCTTGATTTCTGAATGTTCCCTCATAGCTGACATAACACACACACCGTACGTTTGTTTCTTTGTTCTTTATTGCATTGCTCATTACACATCACCTAACCATTGGAAAGATGTAAAATAGAATTTAATTACCATGTACAATCACCTGCCTATCGACATTGACAATTGTTTCCTTCCTTTTGATTTTCAGATAATTTAACACATTTATTTGCATTTTAATTACTCAAAGTCAGCGTTTAGCACTTCACATTCTTGTCACACGCACACAACAATCTAAGCCTTAGTACAGTGTATCAATCAACTTTCGACCTTAGCATCACCTAGTATTCACTCTCATACACCACTCTCTCTGTACTAGGCGGGTAGGGGTATCCGTGGAATAAACTAATCGACCCCCATTTATTCACCATTGGAGAAGCCTCCGACTTGCGGCTTGGTCAGAATTTAGAAATATACTCTCTGTACCTACACCTACCTACCAGCCTACCAGCCTACCTGGCTGGGTACCTGGGTACCTGGGTAGTAAGTGGCTCGGTGGACGACTACGAGCCGGCCCCGGAACTAAAAGACCAACCAAAGTCTTGATAGTGGGACGACTCCATCAAATCGAAATCGAAATCGAAATCGAATAACAATATCCTGATAATACTACCTAGTAGCTATAGTCGGTATCGTAGGCTATTCACATATACTACAGAGTAGATCCCTCAGATAGAATCACCCTATCTACCTTCTTATACCTTCTAGGGCGGCCGTAGATATCAACATCAGCATCAACAATTTACATCACTCAATAATAAACCTCCTACCTAGTGACCCTATCAACCCCAATTCCGATTGACCACTTTGTTAGTTACCATTCAGACCCTGGTTCAACCAGTGATTCACCCCCCCCCCCATAGAGAACACACACACATACGACAGAGAAGGAAAGTGGAATCCCCAGGAAGGAAAAGGTAAAGACTAGCAAAGCAACCAAGCAACCTAAAATTGGTACCAGATCTACTGTTACCGCACCTTTTTTTTCCCCTTCCCAATCTTTTTGGATATTTTTACAGTTGTGCACCAGTTCAATTTGCACAATCCCTCAATCTATATCAGAAGTTATAGCAGACATTCATTTATCCTACTTCGGGGGAGAAAAAGAAACAATAACAACCTTGAAGCAAGAGATCTTGACTATTTACACTGGTTATCTTCCACATATAAACATATCTTCATCGAAACATTTAGCACAACAAATCTCTCAGTGGCCTACAACGGAAACGTGCGAAACCCCGCTGGCCTGCATCGTCTCAGCCATTCGATCCTCCGTTTAGTCCTGGATTCATCCTGGTTCTAAACATTTTTATTTCTCCATTCCAACTGCGACAAATTTCCAAACATTTTTTTTTACGTTGGCAGATTCACTTGCCTTGTTGCTCTCTCTGAATAATAATCGTTTTATGAAATTCATTGCATTCACTCAATACTTCCTTCTTTTTGTGCTTCTCCAATCACTCAATTTGCTCTCGCCTACAAAGAACCACGCGGTCTATAGCTGGAGCTCGAACCCGACCAATTTACGAAACCAATCGCCAATATTCCATCCCATTATTTTGTCTCGCTCTCATATTATTGCTTATCATAGCTCGAGGCCTGAAGGTCGGCTCTGCGAATTCGAAAGTGGAACAAAGGAAATAAATAATTGTCAGAATGGCATCTTCTAAGGTGATTACCTTATTTCCCTCATTACATACCAGCGTTATCTATTTATAGGAACACTGCTGATCATTCTCATCTCTCTCACAGGAAATTCAGCATTCTTCGAGACCTAGCCAAGGCCGACTTCCATCACTGTCTACAAATTCTTCGAGTTCCTATCCACGACAGTCTCATACAAGAAATCACTCTCATTCAGTATCTGCAGGATCACTTATACCGAGCAGCAGGGTGACTCGACGCAAAAGTGTATCTTCAAACGTTGCGAGTAATGTTAATGCACTTCTAGCTGCAGCGACAGCGAGCGAGGTTGGCGATAATCCTTTGGCAATGCCAATTTCTACACGAAGAGCAACAATGAGGTCCGGACCTATGGGCAGTCTACCATCTCCACCATCGAGTCTGCCAACTCACAGAATAAGGTTGACTATGAAGTCGGGGCGTGGAGAGAGTGCAATTGACGATGATAACAACGACGAGGAAATGGAGGACGAAGAAGACGACGAATTTACAAAGAACAGAATGAGAAGAGCGAGCGAAGGATCACAACTCTTGAAAGATGGCAAGAAGGCCAATGCCAATGATCTCAAGTGTGACAAGTGCGGAAAAGGATACAAGCACAGCAGTTGCTTGTCTAAGCATTTGTTCGTGCCCACCATCCTTTCCTATCTTCCTCCACATGGGCTTCAGCGCGGAAGCTTTGTGTGACAGTGTTGTGAATTGTTATTAACTTTTTGTTTGCAGATGGGAACATACACCACAATGGTCCTACACCTCGAAATTGTTGATCTCAAAGCATCAACAAGTACAGTTGCTAGAAGCGGCTGCCGTCCTTCTTGGAATGAATCAAGATTCCGTCAATACTCCACCGGACTCTGCAAAGGACCCTCAAAGTGATGACCAGGATTCTGCATCTAGTCTGGGTGACCACGAGATTGATCGTGCCAGCTCCGCGGATATGACACCACCACCAGCGGATATACGTCACGCATACGGTGGCAGTTCGTTCAACGGATCAAGGATACATGCTGGAAATAGTGACTCTTATACCATGTCGGATAGGGTACGCTTTGGTGCTAGCGTTCCGGTCGGCTTTGGTCTTTTCCATCAACAGAATTATGAGCGTCGCCCGCCCTCTTCCGGAATGAATGAGAATCGAGAGGAAGATACCTTAACCACAGCAATGGAGGCCCACGGTCTTTCAAGCGATTTCCCAGACGATATTCCTCCTGTACCTGGAATCCCTGCTGAATATTTGAATGATCTTTCAGCAAGTTACACACCCAGCCTTCGCCCGCGGCAGAGGGAAAGTTTTGCCAGAGGGAGCTATGACCGTCACCAACTCCATGGAGATGGAGATGTACAAATGGACGATGGCGATGATAGTATGGGAGATGAGGAAGATTATGATCTGCGTTCCCGCGGTCGTTCCGATGAAGACGATGATGGTGTTTTTGGACGTATGGAGGAATAACTACCGACAAATCTAAATGTGCCCATCGAAGCAATCTTTCGATTGGCCATTGTGATTATTTCTCTTTTCTTCTCCTGTAGTAGCAATGTAATAAGTAAATTCGGTCGATTCTTAGCACCAATGTGTGGGGGTTTGATCCACTGAGGTTAAAACTAAGAATCGGGTTGATCTACCAGAACAATAAAAACAAATGTTATCAATGAAAAGAAGATACTCAACCGCCAGGCATGCAACCTCCTAATGTCAATGCCATTTGATACCAATTTTGATAGTGAACATGATAGTAGTGATGGTGGCGACGATATCGAAGTAGTTAAGAGTGGCATATCGAGGTATATTGTATTGTCAAGCACGCAACTACTTGCAAGTCCCTTTTCAATAGGGTTTCATTCCCCTTCAGATAACATCACTGGGCTTGAGGCTTTTAGATAGCACTTGCTGGACATTGGTTGGGTAGGGTGCGGCTTGTTATCTAGGTCTGGGATAAAGTTTCTTGACGTAGAAGAAAGTAGTTGGCAAATAATTGGGCGTGCAGTAGTCATAAATGGAGCGGATGTAGAGAAAAAAGCAAACGAAGCTATTGTATGAACAGATGAAGGTGTCAGTCAGAGGTTAAGAAGAAAGCAAAGCAAAACAAAATATCAAGTGAAAATCATTTTCCAACAACTTGAAGCAACGCGACTTTACTTATTTAAATTAGAAATATCAAAATTTTCGATGTGGATACCAATTGAAAAAAGTGAGAAAATTGTAATGAAAAAATGGTGGTTGGCAGAACGACTCTTGTATACAAGGAACTGGATTGATGATAGCTCACCGGTAGTGACGTCTTGGTGTCCAAGCTCAAGCTGCATCATGCAAAGCAAGCAAAAAATTCGCATGGGCAGAACATAACTTTTACAATTATACATCAAAAGAATCAATTCAATGATATAAAATCAAACGATCAAACTCGAAAATTTTGTTGGTTTGTGATCATTAAAAGAGAAATTGAAAAGTGAAAAGATATTTTATACTTGTGGGATAAGCGCGCCGGCCCTAGAAGACGCGTTGGTTTTGTTTATCTGCTGCCGGACTGGATTGTTAGGAAAGGACAGACGGGTATGGAGCTTTCATTTGTTTTTATAATCGTTCAAAGTTAGTTATTTACAAGTGCACAGGAACTTACCACGTAACACGATTCTGAACGAAATATACCAGAACGAAAGCAGTAAAAGTAAAGGAAAAGAGGAGAAAATGGCTCCAGCAACACGATCACTAAGAAGAGACAAGGTTGAGAGCCTGGCAGACAGTACAGAGGCGGCAGCGGATCAACTTGTTAATGGGGATTTGAGCCATCTGCAAAGGGGTGATGATTTAGATGAATATTACTCGGAGAGGGAAGCGGCGAAGAGAGAAAATGATGAGAAATCAATGCTTGTCAAGTCAATGCTGGCCGACTCTGGATTCTCACAGCGGAAACCATCGAAGGTGCCAGATCTATTGAGGTTTCCCTTAGTAGTAGTTCTCAGTTTGATGGGAAGTGGGTTTGCTTATAGTTTGCGTGCGAACTATGTTGAGGCAGAGGAGTTGGGAAGCGTTAGTAGAAGATATCAGGGATGGGAAGAGGCGGCGGGGTTGGTTGCGTGGAGGACAGCAGAATTGGCATTAGGTTGGTTTGGTAATTATGATGGCTATGATTTTGCGGCTATGACTTTGTTATCTCGTGGTCCTCCAGTAAGTTTTTCTACCCCAAATTTCTGCCCCACTAGCAAATTGCGCTCGTAGTTGTGATGAGTATTTACTGACTTTTGGAATTTAGTTGTATCTTCTTAACGCATTCTATGAAGTTAGCGTGAAGACTGTTGTATCATCTCTTCTGATCGATACCCTCACAACTTACATTCCATTCCGATTACTTCGACCTCTTTCTCCCGCTCACGCAGACGCACCATCTGTACCAAACCGAGATATTACTTCAGATATTCCCGTTCAGATCATTACTACACTCCTAGCAGCTTCTATCTACAGCGTCACTCTCTACGGTGCATACATGTCCTACATGCCAGTTTACCTTGCTACCTATTTCGAAGGTATCCCATCTATTGCCGCCGCTCACACCGCAACACCTACTTCTCTCCTTCCCGTTATGTTACTTTTAGGCCTCGCGACACGTTCATTCATTTTCACCCCAGTTACAGCTACCAAGCCTTCAGACTCGGTACCTCCGCCATTCAACCCTGAAACAGCTACGTTGGAAGAGACTATTCTTTATAATTTGTGGGGCTTTTCGAACAAAACTAGAATCATTATCAAGAGAACGGCTACTTTGATGATGATTACAGGTGTTAACACCTTTTTGCAAACGTATGTTACGGTTGAGGGAGTTGAGGCGCTTGGTGCTGTGGCGTATTCGGGTATCTGGGTTGTGGCTGCGGGAATTTGTGGGGGTGTATTGGGGTTTGTGGGTGCGGTTTAGGGAGGAAAGTGTGATGCAGATTTGATGGCTTGACGTTGAGAGAAGTCGGAGGTAGGTACATTAGTGAAGATGAAGGAGAGAATTACTGTACATGAAAGAAGACGCATATGAATCTCGCTATTTCCTCTTTTTGGGATTTATTGATTTGGCGGAGTATAGCTGACTGGTTGAAGCGAGACTTTTTTTGATTTTTTTCACTGGCTTGAGATACGGGGGAATATGTTCACATGTTTGCTTATCGACACGGCGAGAAGGGCTAGGGGATCAAACAACTCATCCGGGGGGAAATAATCATAAACGCTATTCAAGTAATAGTTGGCGGGTGTGATGATTTGTTTTACCTTGTTGTATTGTATTCTTTGTGGTTTTGATTTCTTGAAAAGGAGTGCACATGATTTTGATGGATATTGTATGCCGGTATCAAAGTTATTTCTAAAAATAGATGCATGTATTGATTTCAACAAAGGGGTATGGGGTAGGTCTGTATGTGTACCTACCTATTATATAAGTATGGAGTGAATGTGAATTGAAACGTATTGCATTGATAGATACCTAGGGAGGTAGGTACTTTTAAAGATACTTTGATAAATGATATTGTGACTGTCCATATTTTATAGGACTAGGTTGACATTTGAGATGCGAGAGTAAGCAGGCATTTTATTCCTTTCAGATCATATCGTGTAATCTTGTGACCCATAGCTTAACCGCAATTTCAAGACAAGAAGGGGGGAGGGGGGAAAGGGAAAGGGCTGATGTGAATAAAGGGTGAAATCGTAAATCGTAAATGGGAAGGTGCAAACAATCATTTTAAACGGATCAGATTATAATAAAACATATTGATAATCACTAGCATTGGAGCATTAATTAAATATTCATTGTCTACATCGATTCCCGAAACAACCAAAATACATCCATCAATTTCATACTCCATACGCACTCAACGTGGTGTTACCATTTCAGCCTTCCTTTTCCAGTTGATTTTATTCATGATCAGCTCCTCCCATCATATTCAGCCTTCGACACCTACTTGACTCCTTTCTGTATGATCTAGATACCATACAGATCCTCCCGTACAGATTCCATCCACTTTGCCACGGTCACGGTCACGGCCACTGCTTTCTCCTGCTGTTACTTTCTTCTTATCTTTTTGGGGCATATCTACCTACTTATTACTCACGGCGGTACTTATCACTGATATATCTGGAATATCTGAAATATCACGAAACAAAGCCTTGGAACCAACCCATGACACCTCTTGACATATTTTTATAATGAAATATGTAGGCTTCGTAATACACCAAGCCAAATCTAGGATTTTTTAATTGTCTTTTGATTCGATTAAAGATCTATTTTATTCTGGTCGCCAACTTTACTACCTGCCTATTATTTGCCATCACTCTCAGTATTTTATCACGGTATTTGCAATTACTACTGTACATACCATACCACACATCCATCCACACATCCTCCCTTTCAGAGCCTCATCGATATCGCGTCTCCTCCCTCTGCTACAAACTTAAAACACCAGTCGATCGGATCAAGATAGAGAAGAAAAATAGCATCCAACTCTCCTAAACAAATATGGCATCAGATGCATCCAGAAGGTATGTTTTTTGATAGATGCTTTCTTTCCCCCTTTTTTTGTTTATTTCCTATTTACTATATTGTACTTATTTTTACCCATTTCCCCCATAACTACCGGTACCTTGATACTATTTTGATCTACCTACGTAGACACCTACATTAGCTGTTTTCATAGCTTCCCCTCCCCTCCACAAAAAGCACGTGCATTTTTATGTTATGTATGCTACATGCTTTTTCACTTGACTGGACTTTTTGGCTTTTTGGTTTTTGGCTTTGCTTTCCTGTTCCCGCCGCTTTGCAAGAAAAGATGGGGACCAATTGGGGGACCGATTGGGGGGGGGGGGCAGAATAAGAGCCAGCCAGGTACAGGCAAGGCCCCAAATATTAGAAAGGGCAAAAGGGCAAAAGGGCAAGAGGGCAACCAAACAAAAAAAAAGATACAAGAGGTTCAAGGCAAATTATCGGGAAAGAAAAGGAAAAGGAAAAAAAGACCCAAGATCCCCCTTCCCATTCCCCCCAAAAATCCAAAATAATACCTACCAATGATCGCAAAGTAGGCGCTAGGTAAGGATTTGGATTGGTGACAGTATCGCGCTTTACAATTTGCCGATAGATTTTCGCGTTTTTTAGTTGCTTTCACGACAGATTATTACTACACTACATGCCTGCCTACCTACTTCGTACTATTTCGGTCAATATTTCATCACTTGTCTTTTTCTTACCTTTCCTTAACAATTGACTTTCGACAATTCTTCTTTTTACGACATATACTGGATTCTGGATTTTTTTACTAATTTGTTTTTTTCTTCTCTCTTTTAGATGGCTTGATGAGTCAGGTATTTGGAGCTGTCGAATCAAGGTCCCACCACATTCGCATGTCGATAATTCAAGAGCAATCGATAATATCAATCCCAACATAAACTCCATCAACGTGGCCGCAAATAATACAATGGATACCGCTCTGGAGATGACAAGCCCTGGCCGTAAGGCCAAGCTCGCGGAAACGATCCAATCTATGGCAAACTTGAATAGCAACATCGAGAATATGGAATCACCCATGGATCCGGATGCACAGGCAACAATCACAGACTTTCTCGATTTTACGGAATATCTACCTTCTGATTTGGTTCGGTCATTGGCACTAATCAGTGACCTCGATGAGAAGTATGTCAATGCTTCATCGAACTTGAATGACTTGACAAAAACCTATGGTCACCTCCCCGATCTTCCTGCCGATACGAAACCTGACCCTGTCTCTCTGCGAAAAGATATCTCTACCAGCTTGACTGATGCCCTCGGTGCACGTACATTGGCTTTCGCAGAAGCGTCACATCTGGTTGAGAACGTGGAGAGACATTACAAAAGGGCCCAGAATATATTGGCGAAGCTTCAGACCATGGCAGAAAACTATCCCGAATCTCGAGAAACAAGTCCTGTTCCGCAGAAGCCAAGTTCTCCTGTCGCGAATCGATTGCCAGGAAAATTACTTTTACGAACTGGAAACCCTGATGGTCGTATGCGTGTTCGCAAACGACGCGCGCCAATCATCACTGTTCCTGGTGAGGTCATGGCTCCATATGAGCTTGACTACGATTCTTACGATTCGTACAGTGATGATTCGGAATCCGACGCTGGTCCACCCACACCACGTCGCCAGACACCTGCGAGATCCGTATCAGTCAATCCTAAGATCAAGTTGAAAGTCAAGCCAGCCAAGAAAGAGAAAGTACCAAAAGCCCCCCGGACACCAAGGCTACCTGGAGTTATGGGAACAAACGTACATAGCGCGGTTGCTGGAATATCGACAAGTAACGCACTGGCGAAACTCCAGCCTCCACCACCGGATGCGAAAGCGGGAACCGAAGATGCGCCTTGGCTTCAGTTGACCGCATGGGAGCTTGCGAAGCTCAGAAAGAGAATGAAAAAGAATGCGGTATGGAGCCCGAGCGATACAATGATCGCACGTGAATTAAAACAGTTGGGACGAGGAATTGAAGCGTATCGTACTGCAAAGAGTAAGGCTGACGCTGCAGGACAGCCTTTCGAACAATCGGTACCACCCCAACTCACCGGGAAGACAGTTATCGCGGAAGGTGCTATAAGTGCAGAAGCCTTAGGCACAGAGGAGATACAACTTAGCAATCGTGGTATGAAGCTTAACGAAGCCAAGAAATTAAAAAGAGAGGCAGCCGCAAAAGAGCTTGCCAAATTGGCGGCTGAAGAAGCTGAAGAATCTGTACGAAAGATGACAGAAGCTGCTAGTACAGTAAAGAGCCTTTTTGGGAATCATCCCGAAGAGGAGAAAAAAGAGAAAGAAAAAGAAAAAGAAAAAGAAAAAGAGAAAGAGAGAGATAAAGCTCCTACTAAAACACCTAAGAAGCAGCCAGCATCGAAAAAACGAAAACGCGAGTCTACAATCGAAGATGTAAAGGCGAATAGCGAGGCAAACCCACCAAGTGTAGATGGCTTAACTGACACGAATGACACTCAAGGGGATAAAGTGAATGAAGTAGATTCTTCGAAATTAGGTAAGCCTCAATTCAAGAGAACGAAGACTGAAACCCCGGTTCCACCCCCTCATCCCATCATCACAAATGCCACTCCCCGCGCAACCCCTGTGCCAACTTTGGAATCTGCCGTATCCGTGGCATCTTCCATTGCTCTATCAGTACCAACTACAGATACACCAATCAGTTCTACTCCGGTTGCGTCAGTAACGGCTACATCACCACCAAAGTCCTCAACACCAATTCTTCCTCCGGGTGCGGAAAAGAAGGAGGCCAAGAAAGAGGCGAGAAAAGCAGCGGTGGTTGCTAAAAAAGAAGCCAAAGAAGCCGCCAAAGCAGTTGTGGAATCGGAATTGGCAGAAAAGAAGGAAGATCAAAAAACGGAAAAGCTAGAGAAGACAACTAACACACGTGCCACTCGAAAAGCAACTCCGGTTGCTCAAGTAATTGAACCCACTACACCACCAGTATCAGAACCTCTCCCAGCTAAAAGACCAACATCTTCTCGTGGCAAAGCAGCCGCTGCAAAGGAAGCGGTAACTGCCGCCGCTATCAAAGCAGAAGAGCCCATCTCTGCAGCTCCTATGCCAGCAGTATTAGATCGCCCTAGACGCACTAGCACAGCTCGTAACACACCGGCACCAGAAACTCGTCAACCGAGCAAAAGAGCAAAAAGGCCGGCTCCAGGTGTTGTAACTCTTACTACAGAAGGTGGATCTACTGCTGTAAGCGTTGGCAAGAGACGTGCTGCTCCACGCAAAAAGGCAGGACAGAAAAAGGAGAAGAAAGATGGAAGAGAAGGCAGTGCGGTTCAAGAAGTTTTGGACGAGGTAGATGATGATGGAAATTTGATCGATCCAAACGAACAGAGGTATTGCACTTGTAACCGGGTTAGCTTTGGCACGATGATTGCTTGTGAGAATGATAATGTGAGTCTTTCTTTCCACAAGAGGTCCGTGTCTTGGTTTGTATTGAATATGGAAGAGAGGAAGGGAAGGGAAGCAATAGAGACTGGCTGAGACGAGACGAGACTAATGATTAATTGATTGATAGTGCGAGAAAGAATGGTTTCACTTGGAATGTGTGGAAATGACGGCTGTTCCTCCTAGAACCACTAAGTGGTATTGTCCGGATTGTAGGATTATTTTGGGAATTGGCGAGAAAGGGGAAGTCAACGCTAGAGGGAGGAAAAGGTAATGGGTGGGCTGGGATAATAATGGGTGGTAGCTTTGCTGATTGGCTAATTAGCTAATATGGAGTTTACAATATGGCTGGCTGGTTTGATTGATAATAATGACTTTGGGAATTGGAATGATTGCATACTTGCTTGCATGCAACAGAGGCGATGGGTCATGAATTCATGATGTTTTCCTTACAATCTTGGTTCGGAGAGTGTATGATTATGTATGTATACTGTATGGATGGGAGATAAGAGATGGGAAGTGGGTAGGGTGATTTTGTGATCCTCTGTTCAATTTGCTGGCTGGCTGGCTACTGGGTTGGTTGGTTGCCTGGCTGTCTGTGTGGGGACGTATGTGTATCAACAACTAATATCATATGTACAAGTGGATAAATGGGGAGATGTAATGGAGGTGTATTTAAATTGTAGTGGATATCGCATTCCACGCCTCTGCTTATATTATATGTATTTTATTTATGTATTCTGGTATGATACCAGCAGCACCATCTTGGTATTTCTCTTTCATATCAAATAAATCCAGGAACCTTGATATTGAATTTCTCTCCGTTGATTCCCCAGCGCGATATGGATCCGCCGCTTCCGAAGAGGAGATCGAGTTTTTGTTCGCGGTGCCAGATGAATTTTTTTTTGTTTTTGTCGGGTAGGGTTTGGATGAAGTACTGAGGGTTGGTGGGTGTGTTAGATTTGGTGTTGTGGGTTGATGGATGGGTGGATGGGTGGTTTATGTTTGGGGGTTTACTTTGTGTTGTGTAGAGAAGAAAGGAATTCGAGGCGAGGCGGAGGTTAAGAGATGCAGAGGGCAGAAAGGATAAAGGTAGGACAGGATGGGAGAGCGGAGGGGCTGGGGGGGGGGGGGGGGCACGTAGGAAAGGGAAAGATAGGTAGATAGGCAAGAGAGGAATAAATACATACCAAAACTTTATGTTCAGGAATCCATTCCTCGTCCATGGTATCGAGTTTCCAGTCAGAAGCATTTTTGAACATGACGCCAGCGTGGCGATCGCGATAGCCGATCAAGTGGTTTTCGATGGAGTAGGAGGGGTCGTGGAGGAGACGGTGGAGAATATCTTTTGCGGTGCGGAGGGGAGGGGACTTTTGTGTGGGGAGGGGGAGAGGTGTTGGGGTTGGGGTTGGGGTTGCAGAGTGAGTGGGGGAGAAAGTTGAAAGGGAGGTGTTGGGTGGAGTGATGGAGGGGGGATAGAAAGTACGGGTGCTGGGTCGGAGATGGAGATGGGATGTTTCTAGGAATGAGGTGTGGATGGTAAAGGATAGATAGCCTTTTTGATTTGGGGGTGTGGATTTCTCTTTCTGGAGTGAGGAAAGCCATTTTTCGAGGGCGGGATTGAGATCTAGGGAGTCGATATTGGTCAGACCGAGGAGAAAGCATCCTTCGTAGAAGGGAGACGAATCATCTGCTTCTTGATCGACTAGGGGTTGGGGCCATAGATGAAGGATTAAGGGTGAAGATGACGATGTAAGGTTTGTTAGAGCTATAGAGGGGTTATTAAAATCGTATTTTGGTTTATGGAAGAGATGAGTGGATGATGAATGGGTGGGCGGATGGGTTAGTGGATATACTTACAGCTCCTCAATACTACCAATCTATCACGAAGCATATCCAACCACCTTTCACATTCCAGCGAGGAAGTGCCTGAATATACGAAATCTATTTGAATGACATTTTCACCCACAACTTTAGCCGGCACATCTTGTTGTTGAATACTCGCGAGAAGATTTTTCCAATATAAGAAATGGTGATAACTTTCTGTGAGGGTACTTTCGATGATGGAATGCATAAGCTGGAATTTTAGGTAAAGAAGTTCGAGGGTCGATCTATCTACATTTTGAAGATGGTAGAGATTATAGATGTCGATCCATTGAGTGAGCTGGTTTCTTTGGTGTGATGTTAGTGTCCATATGGTGATAGGCAAAGGAAAAGAAATTTACTCGGTTAGATGTTCATTTTCATCGTTGAAGAGACCGGTACCACATTCCATGTAATAGGGTGTTAGGTCGATTTCTGGAACTTTTCCATAGTAGGTGAAAAATTCACGGATTCTGGTTTCAAAATCGAGCTTCTCTTGGGATGATTCTGATCTGATGCCAGACGAGAGGGAGGCAATTATTGAATTTTCCCATTCTTGATCCGTGGTGTCTGGAGCGTTGGGTTTCACATAATGTTGTTCGGAACCTGATGATAATGCATGTTGTAGAAGGGCGATGATGGAAATGGAAGTAAGATTTCCCATATTAGAACTTCCATAGAGTCCTTGAACCGTTGCCCAGGCTCTGATGTAGTGGTAGACATGGTGTAGAGTATTATCTATTTTGACTGTATCATGTCAGATTGGCATTTCTAAGTCATATTTCTGCGGAAATGTGGCGAATGGCCAAGAAATGGAGATGAAGTTCTGAGAGGGGTTAAGTCAGATAGGGGCTTACACTTTTGAGCGAAATCGGTCAACCAAAGAATTCTAATGGCTTGTTTTGACAACCATTCGTCACAGTATTGGAGGGCCGCTAGTGGAATACTTTGAGGCAAATCATCATGGCTATCCGATGTGTGAGCAATACTAAATGTTCGAACAGCCGTTGCATGAGTGGAGATTCCTTCGATAGGTATCTAAGGGGGCACTTGGTAACATACATTCTTCTCACAAATGGCTCACAACAGCCATAACTAACCTCAAAGACGAAGCTATTGATCCGTATAATAAAGACCGGATGTGCGCCTGGCTGAATCGATAACACAGCAATATTCGCATCCGGATACTCAACTTGAGCCTTTTGGATTGCCTCCCAAAACACTTCTATAAACAAACTTGCCGAAATGGTTCCAAAAACCACGCATTCCAATGTTTCGTTTCTTGCCGTACACTGTATGGCGTGGCTTTCAGTAGCAAAACAGACAAGCTTTGGAAGGGCGCCAATGCGAGCACAACGAGCACTTGGAATACCTCCTTGATCTTGGCTATCAAGGTCCTTCTCTGGACCCGCAAGGCTTGGATCCAGAAGTTTCTGCAATGTTTGGAAAGCTAGATTAGCTTTTTCCCACCATCCTGGAGTGGGGACGTGGAATTGGTCTTGGAAGTATTGCGTGAGTATCAACTCCTCATTATTTGTGTCGTCTGCCATGGGGAAAGTGTGGAGGAGGGTAAAAATAGCTCGAATTGTTCAGAAATAGAGATTAATAGGTTTGAAGGGGAAGGAAATGAGATCTGTGTACAACAACTATTGTTTGAATGATACAGAAATAGAAAGAAAGAAGGAGCTTTTTGTGTCTTATTCTGATTTGGGGATTCGACAGAGAGTTTGCTTTGCCTTTAACATTTTTGGAGTATATTTGCTACCTTACCTACACATCAGTGCTTACCTTCAAATCTGCCTTGGTGGTTCCTCAATTGACGGATCTTGCAGCATTGAATATACGAGAAGAGTCATCGTCGCCAGTTTCTCTCCAAAAATGAAGGATGTGCATCTTTTATTTCGGCCAGTGAGTCATACAACTTTGTACGTACAATCAAATTTGCAATACAAATTGAAGGGCATCGACATTTTCCTTTGCAGACTTGCAGTACTCCTCCGTCTCCGTCGGCGATCAGATAATTGTATGAATAATAATAGAACATGTGGTGAGCAAAGATATACTTGATTGGTCAGTTACACAATCATCGAACTCTGGAAGGGAAATGAAAATAAAGAGAAATAAATTGGCATTAGAGTGGAAAAGCTTGGTGAATGGGCGGAGGAATCAAAAGATTTGTGGGTGGCCAAGGTCTGGGCAGTACGTAGGAGAGATTTTATGGAGAAATGATTGGTGATAAGGAAAAACATCTGAGCACACAGAGTCTGAGAGAGTATACCCGTCCGAATAGCCAAAAGACAGTGTTTCATAAGTCATTCAGGTATGCATATTTATTATGAATGACCAGGTATACTCCGTGTGGCCATGGTATGTATGCCCCATGGTATGTAGGTATGTATGGAGACTCCGTCTTCGTACATCCATCTGCAGTATTGGAATGGAATATGGGGATATTTAAATTAAAGCGCTCAGTCAGTCAGCTGGAGGTACAAAAAGGGGTGGATCATCCCACCCCGCATAAATGGAAAGAAAGCTTGAGAGAAATGAGTTGATGATTTGCCGATACCTACCTACTGTTTCTGTACTCCGTACTCTCATCTCATCAAATCAAGTGGCACTTTGTTCCACGGAATCTGACCATTTTAGATACACGGAGTTTCCATACGGTCTTCTCAGATGTATGATGGTGACATACTCGTATCGATACGAGGCAAGCTGACATGTTAGCTGATGGCTGGTCGTCTAACGGAAGTACTACTCGAGTCTGGCATAGTATGAAAGGCGTCTTTGAGAAATTTGAGGTTGAGGAATTCGAGGCATTTGAGGCTTTGCATACTATACGTAATAAATAATGAGAAAGGATGGTACGATGTACTCGAATTACATATAAGACCTCAAGTGCAACCCCACTGACTGCATTATGATCCAAATTGAATCTCTAATACCGTAATATTACCTACTTTTTATACCGTGGCTAGATGCAATTCACTCTCTAGTTAAACTCTATCCATATCCATAGTAGAGATATCCAAGGCAAAAGATAAATGGTATGGTATGCAGTCAGTCATCAGCCATACAGTATCGTGAAGCTTATTAATAAATGTAACCGAACACTTACCTAGTACATACATGCGTACTGTATACTTTTTTGCTTCTCTACATAGTAGAATCAACTATCGGACTAATAAGCACTTGGAATCCTTTTCTACATCATACATACCATCATACATACCATCATACATACCATCATACCATCATATCATCATACCCTCCATCATACCTACACCGTACTCAACCTGATACATTAACCCTTTTCTTCCAAAATTCACTTACATACACATGGTGTGACGGTCATCTCAGATTGAATCATCTTATGAATATGAAACTCTTAATGAGTATAAATCAAAAAGGTAAAAGGAAATGATAAGATAAAAAAGGTCAAGTTTAGATGTAAGAAAAACACAGCCCAAATACCAAGAGAATACGCAGATAGCCAAGTTTCTCCGATCTTGGCCTCGGGGCGCAATTTCTTGGGTTGAAAATGCTCAAAAAAATTATTGGCAATTTTGCAATTTTTGCTTACTGCCTATGGGCATTAAGCTTAGATTTTGCTCATGTTCCTTCCATACACGCCAAGATGACTCAGCCAATCAAATCATCAACTCAAGTTTGATCCGAGTGGAATGCCAAGAGACTACGAGTGGAAGCTAATCTTAATACGGTCGCCAAGAGCTCTTGCCAAGATTTGGTCCCGCCCACGGATTCCGTTATTCTTACAAGAAGGCACCAAGATCCTCCCTTTGCTTGGAGAACTCTTAAGACAGACACAATTTCGAAAGAATAAGAGTTTCCTTCTTTCTTTGACTTCAATTTGCCATCAATATTTTATCAAAACGTTGGACTCTTATCGATTTCGTTGCTGTTAGCAATCTGATATTGATACAGCCAAGGCCCCATAACTTTTTGGATACATTTATTTCCTTACACAGTTTAGTCTGTGAAAGGCTCATTTAACCGACTATTCTTCATTGGTTGATCTGATCTATTGGATCTATTCCCAATTTCACGATGTCTAGTCAAGACCAGCAGCAGCAGCAGCAGCAGCAGCAACAAACTGCACAACCTCAGACTTCGACAGCCTCGAGTTCCAATGCAGAAGCCACTTCCACAGTAACTCCATCAATTCAACAAAATGTTGTATCTGATGACAGTTTACTCTGTCAATGGGAGAAATGTTCTGAAAGATGCCCTACACCAGAAACTTTATTTGTATGTTTGCCTTTTGTTTCCGTCATGCCAATCCAAAGTCTTCATACTTATACTCTCTATCTTAGGAACATATCTGCGAGAAACATGTTGGTAGAAAAAGTACCAATAACTTAAACCTCACTTGCGGCTGGAATTCATGCCGTACTACTACTGTCAAACGCGATCATATTACATCTCACATTCGTGTGCATGTTCCACTCAAACCTCACAAATGTGAATTCTGTGGAAAGGCATTCAAGCGTCCTCAAGATTTGAAGAAGCATGTCAAGACTCATGCCGATGATTCCGTTCTATTGAGATCTCCAGAACAACCTGGTGGCCCAAACGGAGGATATAGACAACCAGGTGGTAAAGGTACGTAAGGGCGCAAGTTGCCTTCTGTTCATACAAACGTCTCTAACTCTTCTTATGTAGTAATTGCTAATTTGCAGCACCTCGCAGCAAACCCCATGGGTTATTATGATCATAATGCTTCCATGCACCCTGGTTCCGGGATGTATGGCAATTCGCATCATGGCGGTCACAGTGGATATTATGCACCTGCCCATCCTCCATCATCTTCATATGGAGGAGGCCCAGGCTATTACCAGATGTCTCACAACCCTGACCTTGGTCAACATGCAGCTTGGGATGAGAAAAAGCGAAATTATGATAATTTGAATGACTTTTTCGGTGCTGCGAAGCGTCGTCAGATTGATGCCAATTCTTATCAACAAGTCAACCAAAGGTTGATGGCATTACAAGGTATTCCTATCAGTGGAGGTGGAGCTATCCATGATTACATTCATTCAGCACCTCAATTAGTTCCAATTGATGGCCATGGAGGTCACGGAGGTCATGGTGGTCATGGAGGTCCTATTCCACAACATCAATATTCCCTCCCTCTACCAAACTTGAGGACCAAGAGTGATTTGAATTCCATTGATCAATTCTTGGAGCAAATGCAATCTACAGTCTACGAAAGTTCAAATGCAGCAGCAGCAGCTGGCATCCATCAGCCCGGTGCTCATTACACTCACCAGTCTATTAACTTCCGTCAAAGTCACTCACCACCACAAACTCATATTCACAACATTGGTTCAATGGCACCACATGTTTCGACTTCTTACGCTTCAGCACCAATGACTGCCACCCACTCATCTCATTCATCTGGTACACCAGCTTTAACACCTTCCTCAAGTTCCGTTTCATACACTTCTGGCAATTCTCCAATGTCCTCAAGTGGATTATCTCCCATCTCTAGACACAGTTCTACATCAACTGCAGCATACCCTAATCTCCCTGCAGTATCTCTCGGATACTCTCCACATCACTCAGCGACTGCACCAACATCTACCCTTGGCACAAACTTTGATAGTGATCCTCGTCGTCGTTACTCTGGTGGTGTACTTCAAAGAAGTGCTGGAGGACTCAACTCTAGCCAATATCGCGAGTCTATGGAGACCGCTACCATTAGCTCTCCATCACCATCTCCAAAAGAAACAACTCCCCGCCCTGAGTCTATCGTTCAAACTGATGTCACAAGTAACATTGATCCCGCTCTTTCTGTAACTTCACCTACAGTCAGATCAGTTGATACTCTCGAAAGTGCTCGCGATAGAGCTGAAGAGGCATGGATCGAGAACATTCGTGTCATTGAAGCTTTGAGAAGATATGTCAGTGATCGTCTTCAAAATGGAGAGTATGTCAAGGATGAAGAAGACACTTCTGCAGCCGATGTTGATATGAAAGAGATCCCAACAAAGGCTGAAGAGAAGCCAGTTGAGAGCTTGTATCCCGTTTTAAAAACAGATGATGATGATGAGTAGTTGATTTTTGAGTATCATGAGGTTGTATTGATCGGGTGGAGTTTTCTTGGGATGGTTGGTTGTTATATCATGGGCTGAATTACGCTTCAATACAATTATATCATAGGGATAAGGTGGCGCTGGTATGGATGGAGTACGAAGTTTATTCAGCACATTAGTTGCTTGCTTGCTTTGATCAAAATACGGAGAATGATACGATAGTGCAACGGGGGGCTTTCTGGGGGTTTGATGAATGGAATAGCCTTCTCATTAAATGGAATGTAGTATATGGTTGAATCAGTACATTATAAACTCTAAATTGTGCCTATCAATATTTAAAGTGATTCAACATTTAGCTTGCATGTCTGTGCCGTCGAATGTTTATGATGAGATGAGATCTACTCGGGCCCGTAAAGCACCCCACATTTCAAGCATAGCTCCCCGAAGCATCCCACCTTGACAGCATCTGCAGAATATATGTTTGTTACTTTCTCATCACACACTATACATTGTTTTCAAGGCATCTCATTAATTCATCATCATCTCATCATCAGTAGTTAGCAAACATGTCGCAACATTCATACAAATCGGAATATCCACAAGGGGTTGAAGTGGATGAGGGGATTAGAGAGTTTTTTGAGGCATTTTATAAGTTGAGTGATACGGAGGAAAAACATGAGGAGTGAGTTGAGCTTTTCTTTGGTTCTTTTGTTCAGAGAGTTTTGGAGAGGAGCTGGGTTAGGGATGGGAGTGGCGAGGAGCGAACAGATGTTTCTCTTTCCTCTTGAGAAGGAGCTGGGTAGAAGGAGTGGGTGAAAGAGGGGCTCGAAAACTTCGGGTTTCAGAGGCTTGAAGGTTTGATAGCGTTATGATGTAGGAAGGATGTGAATGGAACTTTGAGGGTGGAAAGGAATGAGGTTGATATCCTAGTATTGGGGGACTGGACGGAAAGCGAGAATTTGAGTGATGGAGAATCCTAGAGATGCAGATGGACGGGTTTTAAGTTGATGGAGTGGTGGGCCAAAAGGATAAAACTAATATGTGGATGCGTCGATAGGTATGCAAATCAATTTGCTGAAGATGCGGAGGTAGTCATGGGCATTAAGAGGGTTCAGGGGAGGGAGGGTGAGTTTTGACTTTCGTTTTTGTTTTGCATTCTTTGGTGTGGATGGTGGAAAGATGATAGGAGAGGAGTCTGGGGGCTCACGAGATTTGGAGGATTGGGCAAAAAGTGCTTTCTTGCACGAAATGAGGTTGGGCGAGTAGAAAGGGGAAAGGGGATAGGACTTCGAGGCTTGATAAAGAAAGGAAAAGGCTAACATCAACCCCTAGAAATTCTCGCTTTCAGAAAGGGCATGTGGGAAAAGGTAGCTAGTCGTTTGCATACGGCGCACAAAATCTTTCCTTTTGGAAAGGGATCCACGGAGGTTATGTTGTTTGGAGTTGTGGCTGTGAGTTCTTCCTGTCTACTTTATGTTTTACTGTTTCAGGGAGTCTGCATTGGAGTGAAGGGAGTGAGTGGGTGGTTGGGAGGGCAAATTACCGAAGATGTGTGCGTTGCGATGCTAATACTTTGATGATATAGTATGGATTGAAAGATGGAAGAAAGGCCGATGTAAGTCTCAAAACTTATCTTATAGCTATGGATGATATCGTGCGGACGTATACTCATATGTGGAATAGGTTGAATGGGCCGGACGGGCCAAGATGGTTCAGGAGGGCGGAAAGTGGAAATTGGGATTTTATCAAGTTTATTTGGTGAGTGCATTTATAGTTGTCATTGATGCAGATTGAAGAAGTAAAGAGAGAAGGGGATTGATGGCTGACGAATATGTGGTAGGATTCGGCTGCTGTACAGAATGCTAAATAAGATTGAAAATTCGAAGATGGATGGGAATTTCGGATAAGTAAGGGGGTTTATGTAGATTGATATAAGACTTAACTATGGTTGGACGGAATCAATCTAAGTTTTATTCCGAGCTTCTAGTTTTGCCAAACATATCTTACAAGCATTACCAATTACCAAATCCAAGTAACTATCGTCGTTGTTTCTTATTTCGTCAACCATGATATTATTGACACATATTCTCTCCATCACTCAATCAACTTAATGGCCTCCTCAAAATTCATAATATCATCCGCACTCTTCGCCACTGCCCCTCCCTTCACAATCCCCTCCTTATCCACAACCCAACTCCCACTCGTCTGCCATCGATTTCCACTCTCCGTAGGTCTATTCCATATTTTCTCTTCGCGCCCAAGCTTAAAGACGGAAAACATACTCCAGGGATTCAGTACGTGCCAGGCGGAACTAGTGCCTAATCCCCATTGTCCGTAGATTTCGCGATCAGAATCAACAATTACTTGGACGGGACCGGCGCCGCCGAGCGAGTCGAGCCAGGTCTCAGTCGAAGATGATGTGGAATGGGAGATAGCTATTATGTTGATATTTGGGTGGGAGACAGCGAGATTGCGGAGAGTGAGGAAGGTCTTTTCTGCGAACTGGAGAGGGGAGGGGTTAGCTATGGGTTGAATTGTGGAATTGATTTCAGAAGAGGGGAATTATCTTGAGGGATACATGGAGAGTAAGATGCCTGAAGCAGTGTATATGTGAGAAAACAAAACTAGAAACTTACCGGGCAGCCGCAATGTCTGAGGAATGTGATAATAGTAGGGTTTCCATTAGAATTTGGGAGTGGAAGTTTGGATGATGAAGGTGCTTTGGAATTGATTTCTGGAGGTGATTGGACGTCGATTGGAGATGGAGAAACCCATGAATTGACTTCTTGTTGGAAGGTCATTTTGATATTAATATGTATATGTGACTGTTGATGTAGCTGTTGATATTGACGTTCTCGAACAATCGGAGAAAGGGAAGCGACAGGATCATATCGATGATTTCATAGAGGGGAAAAAGCTTCGTGACGTGGGGTAGCTTTCTTGTGCATGGGTCTCTTATCTTATCGTAATCCCTGTCGTCCTGCCTTGTAAGGTTAGTAATGTATCAGTATCAAACAATTTGATCTTGGGAAGATTTTCCAAATTCCTCCTTCTTTCGAACATCACCGGATACCTAGGTAGATACCTTCATTGTATGTTGATCTGACAGTCCCGAAGTTTGACATTCATATACACTAGGTAAGCTGATTATGCATTAAACTTTATCTTTCATGCGAGTGCTGAGCGATAATCAAAGCATACCATTTCCATCGCCACAAGAGGCTGTGACAACTTTGACAGCTGTCAATACTCAGAGCACTGGATACCTTTTCGGGGGAAAACCGTGGAAATAGTAGAATATGCATGAAGTCATTACCCTTCAGTTGGGACAAAAGAGTAATTACCTTGCTACCCATTTCTGGAACACTCAGGTAACACTACATCTTTTTCCAGACTTATCAGCGTATTTTGACCCGTTAATAGGAATCATACTTTACGTATTCGGCAGATCAAGAATCTCTCATTGATCATGATGTTCATTTCAGACCTGGTATTGGAGCTGATGGTACTGAAACCTTCACTCCAAGAACTTTGATATATGATCTGAAAGGGGGGTTTGGTTCTTTAAGAAAGATTAATGCTTTGTATCAAATAGATGAACCAGTTATTACTGATGGATTATGGTAAGAAGTCCAAATGTATCGTTAGGGAGTCGAGAATTTTGCTGACTATAACTTCATTTCAGGAATGGTCCAGCTGTAGTTCAACGGCAAACGGCCATCCAGCAGAGTCCATATCAACAAAGTTTGGAAGAAGGTCTCGAACCACCAAAGCTCACCTCAGAATCGGTGCGATATTGGTCAGACTTCAATCGTGTCTATTATCATCCAAGGTCAATAGCTCAACTCAATGAATATGAATTGAATTCATCTTTGATGCCATTCGAAAATTGGGATGCTGGTGAAGAATTATTCAGTTCCTTAGACAAAGAGCATGATTTGTTGGATCGTGATCTTCGACCTTTCGCCGAGGAAGCTGATCATATGCAAGGCATACAGATAATGGGAGGCATTGACGATGCTTGGGGTGGTTTTGCTGCTCGATATATGGATCGCTTGAGAGATGAATATGGTAAGACCACGATATGGTTCTGGGGTTTGGAAGATAATATCAAGGGAATACCCCGAGTAAGTTGTGGTGAGCTGAGGTGGAGTTTATATCAGTACTGATTTTGACAGGAAAAACGGTTCTTGAAGTTGTCGAACACGGCGAAGTCAATATCGGAAATCATTCCACAAACGTCCCTTTTCATTCCAATTACCCTACCATCGACACGTTTGCCAGACTACGTCAAATTGGACGCGAATTCTCCATGGGAAGTTTCTGGCTTGTTATCTTCCGCGATGGAAAGCATGACACTACCTTCGAGATTAAAGCCTCAAAACGGTACAAGGCAGACTTTGGACCAATTGGCAAGCACATTGAATGTCAATGGCAACCAGAATATTGCGAAATTACGCATGTCAGTTAAACAAAAGTCTGAGGCAGTAATTAATGATCTCATTCATACAGGAACGAACGGGCATTCGCAGGCCACAGATACGAGGGTTACTTCAGCAAGGACTTCGAGTCGTGGTGAGGATGTGCCCGTGGAAAATGACACTGCCAATTTTGATATAGGCTTCTTTCCCACAGAAACAGGAGAGCAATTTCGCGGTCCTCGGAAGTCCGGCAAGGTTCATGTATTTGGCCAAGTTGAGAATTATAGAGGAAATGAGGAATACGATGAGGAAAACGACAGAAATGATGAGGGTCGTGAACGAGCTCTTAGAATTGCTGCCAGTCTTCCATTGCTTTCAAAGTGAGTAGCCCTCTTTATTATATCTTCACTTTTCTTACTGTATTCTTATAGGACATATACACCATTATCCTTTCCACTTCTCGATAGTTTCCCTGGCATCTTCAACCATGAAGATGAGAACATCAAGAATCTCTCAACCAGCACATCTCTTTCGACTGATACTTCTGTGGCCCTGCGGATCAAAAGCCTTCAGCAAATAGTAAATAGAGCTATTGGCATGGATGAACGAGAGGCGCTCAGTAATTCTCTTGGCGAGATCGCGGAATCGTATGAAGAAGGTTGGGATAGTGACACCGACGACGATGATGATTAGTTGAGATGTAAGTAATTACGAATAAGGTAAAGATAGCTTGACTCAATACCACCCTAAGCCACCTAAATTTTTACCACATCAGATTACCTGAACTATGTCCCGAAATTCGGTGAGTCTGCACGACTCGGTGATTTCTCATGCGAACTTTGTCAGCTTACATGTCGGGAAGAAAATTTAACGACTCAGAGCTGTTGGGTGGCGTGTTCGGTCACGGTATTGAGGCCTATTTACAGCCCAAATTATACCTAGCAACGACTGGGTGACAGGTCAACAGTGAAGCGAGAGCGAGAAAAGATACCGAGAAAAGGCTACCAACGGAAGTCCATCATCGCACAATGTCACCCTTCTGCCACATCTCTGCTTTCATTATCTGTTTTCCGAGGCATTCTTGATCGGATCATCGATGCATCTCCCACGCAAAAAATTTGTATCTCATTTGGAGCACAGCAATTGATTCATATTCTAACATATCCTTGATTTTTTTTACCTTGGACCTCACCCCGCCTCTGTTATGCATGACACAGATTTTCAGCCCATCCATATACAGGATCCTAGCAGACAACCTTCCCCGCGTTTGCTAGTAGATCCTAATGCATCTTACAGTCAAATACGAAGAAGCAAGAAGTCTTTCATATGCATCTCGAGATTTGCTCTGGTAATAAAAAGACATGCTCGATACCCTGCGTAGGAATCATTTAGCCGCGAAAGCGGAAGTCAACATACTTCCTATGCAGGGGAAAATCACTCACCAATATTTAAATAAAGGTACAAAAATTGTTGTGTTACCTGGTTTATCGGTACAAAAGCTACCCAAGAAAATGACACACCACGTTTTTTGATTTCGAGAGGCCTCGAGAACGGACAACAGAAAACAAATTTTGTCACCAGGCCTCGCTTTCCCCCGGAAATGTGATTCATGAGGTGGCACCATGTAAGAATACTGTTTATCATGCAAAAGCTCGTGTTCCTTTCTCTTTCATGCATCATAATATTGCTTCCACAGCATTAAGCGACTAGGAACCCATGTTTATGCCAGCCTTTTCCCCACGGCTGCAGCCTCCGAATAGTTAGCGATCAAGTGAATTGACATATGTTTATATACACGAGTTTTTTGTATTACTATACTTAGAGTTCTCATTTCAAAGCTTGGCTCGGAATTGAGAAAAATATTGTTGGTCAGCACTATACTCGTATCCCAAAGCTACGTATCATACTGGTTGGCCAGTTAGAGGAGACCTTTTTATGTCTTAGTAGACCAGAAAAGATACCGATACTTGCCCAAATTTGCATCGCCAGCATGAAATCATATGCGGCCTTATAAGATGCACGAAGATTGACTAGATATTTTTCAAGGTAGGATCAAGATTTCTTTGCCATTCCATAGATAATAGTGCCCTTGTTCCCGCATGTATTTGTGTTTGTTTTCATTTTCTGATTGTCCCAACCTTCTACCAAATATTATATCCCTCCAACCTCCTCACCAGAAGTATTTGCTTTCGGACCTTTCTTTCTCTCAAGTACTTAAGTCGGTCGTTATACCTATTCTCTGTGGTGCAAAGTACAGAGTGTGCTATCGTTATACAAGTTTGACGCAGTACAAGTTCAAAACATATCGCTACATATTGCAATCATGAAGGCAGCTCTCGCTTTATTGGCTTTAGCCACTTCGACTCTCGCTCAAGGGATTCAGGAAAGATGGTATTCAAGTCCTCCTGATTATTCGAGCCCTCCTGGGTATCCTGTTGAGACTGATACTACTACTTGGACCACTTATACTTCAACCACTATCTGTCCTGTAAGTAAGATTCATCTTGTTGAGATGTTGTATCATTAGGATGGCATGAGATTGTGGGATGATCATGAAGATTCTTAGTGCTTGATCCCATCTGAAATATTGGATGAAGTCATCTCTACTTCCTACCTTTCAGATGAACACCATCTTGTCAAAGGGTGAGGAGTGACAATGTTCAAGAGCCTTCTCACATTTGAAAGGAAATTTGTCTTTTCCATTAGATGAGAGATTTTCAGCGTATCCGAGAAAGATTTTAATGATGATGAAGATCCCATACCATAATGATCACATGCTGTCACGTTCAAAGGCAAAAGCTTATTCATTTCTAATAGGTCACTTCAACTACCACCGAAGAAGGAACAACGAAATGGGTTACAAGTATTGCTACATCAACCGTAGTTGTCACTAGTTGTGTTGGAGGTTGTGGTGGAGTTGTCACTGTACCTGGCCCAACTGGATGGGCAACCACCACCACCGATGTAAGATCATTTCATAATGTTCACTTATCATCGAGATTGACTCATTTTTAGGTCATCGTTACGTATACCACCACTTGCGCGGTAACGGAGACCGTCACTGCTCCCGGAAATACCTACACAAAGACATACACCACCACTTCTGTTGTTGAAACTGGTAAGACTTTTTAGGATTACCCAGGTGTTGACGAATCATTGCTGATATTTGAGTCCAGCTGTACCCACCACGATCGTTAACACTGTCACTGCGCCTGACACTACACAGACGTATGGAATCCTTCTTAAATCTCTAAGCTGTTCTTAAACTGATATCTTTCTAGTGTTGAGACTGGAGTGGTTGTAACTCTTACGAGTCTCTGTCCTATTACTGAAACAACTACCATTTCAGGAAAGGAAGAGACAGTCACTTACACCTCAACATCGTTGTATACAACTCACGTTCCTACATACATTGAAGTTACAGCTACTGCTCCTGACAATACAAAGACGTATGAATTCTTCCTAATCTCTACGCCATATCCTTCAACTAATGGCTTTCATAGTGTTGAGACCGGGGTAGTCCAAACTCTTACGAGTCTTTGTCCTATTACCGAAACTACCACTATTTCGGGAAAAGAAGAGACCGTAACTTATACATCGACATCATTATATACAACGATTCTTCCTACCCATGTTCAAGTTACAGCTACCGCTCCTGATAACACAAAGACGTATGTATTCTTCTCAAATTTCTATGCTTCAAGTCCTGGATTAACGTTTTTCACAGGATTGAGACCGGGGTAGTCCAAACTCTTACAAGCCTATGCCCTATCACCGAAACTACTACCATCTCAGGAAAAGAGGAGACTGTAACTTACACATCTACGTCGTTGTACACAACGATCCTTCCTACCTATGTTGAAGTTACAGCCACTGCTCCCGACAAAACAAAAACGTAAGCAAGCCTATTTCACTCTCTCCTCTTTGGAAGCTAACTTCTTCTTAGCGCTGTCACTGGAGTAATTTCTACAATAACTTCTCTCTGCCCAGTCACAGAGACAAAAACAGTCTCGGGAAGCCTGGTAACTGTTATCTATACAACTACTTCATTCATTGTCACAAACATCGGAACCACCGTCGAAGTAGCAACTACTCTCCCAGCGAAAACTACCACGTGAGCATTCCTCTCTTGAATATATATATATATGAGGCGAGAGCAGCAAACTAATCAGCAAAATAGTGTTGCAACTGGAGTACTTCAAACTATCACTAGTCTTTGCCCTGTAACTGAAGTCGAAACCGTTTCTGGAATCGAATATACTGTTACAAAGACATCAACTAGCCTTATAGTCACTGATGTATATACTACGGACTACTCAAAAACTACTTTACCGGCAGGAACTAAGACGTAAGTTTTTGGGCCCCTGCTGTCCGCTTGATATATGACTAACCTAGCATGAAGAATCGAAACTTACGTCTATCAGACATCTACTAGCTTGTGCCCAGTCACTGAAATCCAAACAATCTGTATGAATCTCATTCCCAAGTTTCACACGTATTCAATGTTTCAAATGACTTGAAAGTTCAAAGAAATAAATACTGATAGTCACCTTCTAGCTGGCGTTCCGATCACAAAAGTATTTACCAGCACAATCGTCACTGAAGTCCAGGTTCCTACAACAATTGTTCAATAGTGAGTTAATCATCCATCGAAAGTCGAAATATTAAGTCGAGACTAACAAGCTTCAGCACCACAACTCAAGCTACTGAATACAAGACTACTGATGTCTACGAGACGACTACATGCATCGAAAGTGTATATACAACCATCAGTGCTGGTTCAACGTAAGCTAAAAAATTCCCTTCCTATCCCAACGAGCATTAGAGTCTGACATCTCCGTAGCATCGTTTTGACCGCCACTCAAACAAACGTAGTCCAAGTGACCGCAGTTCACACCTTGACATCTACCCTCCCAGCCGCAACTGGCGAAACCACCGTTTACGTAAGCATCCAATTGTCTCATCCCTTTCCACTCTCTTCTCGCACCCTTCCTAACACACGCTAATCCTATCCCCAGATTCCAACCACAATCGGCCACGCCATTGAAACCATCGCCATCGTCACCGTTCCATCCATCGTCCGCACCGTCACCCTCGGAACAACCTACTACGCAAACACAACCCACGTACAAACATCAACTTACATCCAACCCAGCACTTTGACCGTTGGGGGCCAGACAACGAGCTATTTCGTTCAGCCTAGCGTTAGCGTAAGTAGTGTAGCGGCGACGAGCGTAGCTACGATTGCCCCGAGTGCGCCAGTGGAGGCGAATAATGCGGGAATGAATGCACCGGGATTGGTGATGGGGTTTGTGATGGGGGTTTTGGCACTTTTGTAGATGGATGAGTGGGTGACGGGTGGCATTTTTCTTCTCTCTCTTTTTTTTTTTAAACAAAAGAAGAGAAGATGCTTCGATATTCGTTTTCTTTTCTTTGCTTTTTCTTCTCTTCACTGGGCGGATGCATGTACGCAGCATGATAAGAGGGAAAGAATGGGGAGCATTATGGATCTGCATCTGGATATGGGTAATATGGATGGCATGCAAGAAGGAAGAAGGAAGAACATGACGATATGACACGATACAATGTGCTAAGGATTGGATATTGGATATTGAGAAGATAACATTCCTTGATGAGTTTTATTTGGAAAGCGGATGGAAAATGAATGGATGAGAGGGGTGAATGAGAGGGATCTTAGGGGGTAATTCTTAATTTATTTGTAGATATTATAATTCTATTCTATTCTGTCCCGTCCTGTCCTGTGTTATTCTATCTTGTGCTATTCCTTCCAAGATACACTCGTAACCGTATATCTAATCCTTCCACGGATCCTCCAGATCGCAGTCTATCAATCAAAATCTTTCATCTACTTTTCGGAAGTAAGGAGGTAGGTAAGTAGGTCGGGCACGTAGGAGGTAGATACACATATCCATCTACTTCCACATCTACTTCCACACCTACTTCCACATCTACTTCCACATCTACTTCCACATCTAATCCCACATCTCAAACTATCCACCTACCTCGGTACTCAGTATCTAAATCATCTAAATCAAATAACATAAACTAACATACATGACTCTAAATCTTCCCTCTAATGATTCTCTAATTGTTTTCTCATTCTCTTTAGGAAGATTATACGAGGAGAAATACATGTATTCTTGAGATTCTATATTCCTTTGAATATTTGAATATTTGAATATTTCGGCTCGGGAGGGATATATATATATATATCTAGATATATATTTAGAGAGCAAGTATTCCTTTATATTAATATTAATGTTCAAATCGAGTACAGATATAGATATAGATATAAGTATAAAAATAACTTCGATATCTTACCATCTTACCTGATGTTGATAGTGAGGAGAGATATAATAAAATCTACAGATAGAATTTTGTATTGTGTGTAGTTCGGTTGAGTTTGAATTTGAAGATATGGATAAGTTATGGATATAGATAACTATAGAATGGATATTATAATGAATGATATTATGTTATATTATATATATCGTATATTATATCCTCATATAACACAATCCACTTTACTAATCTAGTAGCATGAAATAATATAAAGCGAAATGAAGATTGAATGACTCTGCTTTCTCTCCTTACCTCCTCACCTCATCTTCATTCCTAAAGTTTTTATTCATCATTTTCAGGTACACTGATTCTTGAATCTTGAATGAGATATTGTTCAATTTACTTTCTCGCCCCTTTTCTCCTGTGATTAGGTAGATAGGTAGATGAAATATATAAATAGATATTTCAAGATTCTCTATGTATATGCTGGGTAGTTTCTTGACATCCATTGATTTCTAGATAGGTTAGTTGTAAGGTGAGTTTGACAACGGTGATATATGTTACATCTTACATCTTACAATTTTCATTTTCATCCCATTTCTAAGAGCTACCTATCCACAAAAAGACGAAGAGAGGAGGATGCGTGGGTATGTATGGAGACATAAACTGTTTTCAAGAAGTGTTATTCTTGTAATAACCTAAGATTCTCATAAAAAGGATCTCAGATGGAAGATTGTCGAGATGTAAAAGCTCTTTCCGTGAATGCTCGGAATGAAAGCAATATCTCAGAGGGCTTGATTTGATGATCCAGATTTGATTGAAAACTCCCACGTGGGTATGTAATTCTTCACGATAGAATTATCATGGCGATGGATACATCTTAGATACTTGTCTAAATCGAATCTCAGAATTGTAATCACTAGGTACTAGGTAGGTAATTCAATATCCAAAACCAATTCGACATCTGAACTCCTGGATTGTACGGGTAAAATCCGAAAATTCTAGTCTTTTGGGTATGGGATTGTAGTGTGTATTATTGGATACTCTGGGTTCTTTTCGTATAGGTATTCAATTTGGAGTGGATGTTAAGAAATGTTGGGCTGGTAGATATGAGATGAAAAACTTGGCTTCTACATACGTAGTACTATTAGGTATGAATGTCGCTGTGTACTGATGATATTGTTTTTCCTTCGAGGGGACACGTTGGGTATTTGATGTGTATGTCGTATGGTATATTGAGATGAGAGTACATGCTATGATATGGTGAGGATGGTGTCTGGTGGACAGTCCAAGGTGGATTAAATGGAAAGGCTGTGGTGAGGATTTGTAATTGATTGATTTATAGAATGACGGGATGGGATGGGATGGGATTGGAATAGAGAACATTGTCGACTTACCTAGTAGTACCAAAGAATAGAAGAGTCTATCGATCTGTCAACATAGCATGATTAACCTTAGCAGGTAGATAGAATAACTTATTGTATGCTCAAGATCTAACAAAATCAAATCAATCCACGAGAATAAGGAATAGACAACATGCATTGATAGATAGATATACCTGATAGACTCATCTAGTATAGATCATTGAGGCTTAAAAGGTTAATGAGATTTCTTCCCACTGGGTAATTGTGGCACGTGTGGATCATATTGGGTCTAGAACTTGTGGGATGGGAGTCGTAGGTAGTATCGTATCTAGTAGTTCATAAGTATGTGCATTTGAAAAGGTAGGTATTGGTATGTATCAGGACTAAGATAAGATAGGTAGATAGATAGATGGAGAATGAATGATGTTTTTACCTTCAGTTTACTTACTTTAGTTGATAGAGAGAGAAGAAATTATAATTGATCAAGAAATATCAAGTCTCTGAGGAGGTAGTTGTCATAGGAAGATTCAAATATGATGATCCAATAGGTATATCACCTCCTCGTATAAGTCCAAAGTCCAAAGTCCAAAGTATCAAAGTTAAGATCTCAGTATCAGATTATCAAACCATCAAACCATCAAACCACCAAACCATTATTAGTGTCAATGCCAAAGTGGGTCGACCGTTCTTGTGAGGGAGGATCTGTAAATAACATTTTAGTACGCGCTCATCAATATTGTCATGGTATGGTACTTTATATGATCAGGCTGAGATCTAGAGTAAACCAAAAAAAAAAAAAAAAAAAAAGCTCAATGAAGTCATCATCATATTATTTGGACAGATATCTACTTTATTTAGTAAATGTCTAGCACGCCACGCCTGAGCACTTTCTTCCATTATCGATAGTCAATTTTTATGGAGAAGGGGAGGAGGTCGGACTCCCCCCAAAATGCGCCGATTGTTTTCCAAGTCATTTTCAACCAATCATATCATAACTGAACACTTTCCAAAAATGTAAAAAGAGGTGAACAAGTAAAAGGCTATCACGGCTACCAAATTTCGCTTTCAACAATCAAATCCAACAACTTTAACGTCGTATTTAAATACTCATTCCCCTTACTTATTTACACGCATACACGCATACACACACACAATACGATACAATACAATACAATACAATACAATACATCACCATACAATCTCATCTTTCTATTCAAGAATAAATTCACACATATAACATAGTTATAGTTAATTGTTTCTTACATTAACTATAACCAATTATATCTATCAATTTCCGAATGCACATCAAGACAAGGCAAGAAGGCAAGGCACGCACGCTCGCTCGCTCGTTCGTAAGCAAGCAAGTACCTTAAACAAGGACGCGACTTCCGCGTGACGGGTCCACACGATAGGGAGAGAGGCGATTGATCGTATTGCATTGCATTGCATTATTATTGAAGGAAGGAGAACCGCAAAGAAAATAAAAAATTGTTTCCTTTCAAAACAAATACAATTCAATTCAATACAATTCAATACAATAATCTCCTCACGACATCTCAATAAGTTGATCAATTTGCTAATTGCCAATTGCTGAGATTGCTGTTTAAATCAATCAGTCAATCATTTCGGTGGTCCTTTTTGCCCGTGGTAAGTTATTTCATTATATCATCTGTCGCATCGTTACAACCTTCCCCTCCCCTCATTATAGGTACCAACTCTTTGACACTTGATTCGCAAGGGTGACTGCACCTCTCCCCCTCCCTCTCCGTCTACACCTCCTACGCTTCCTCGACGACACAATACTCATTGTTCTCTCTAGTCGTTAACAATTACCTATCTCCTGCCGTACCGATCCATACGACATCTTATGCGCAAGAATCACCGGGTCAACGCTGTCGCAAAAAAATTATGCATACCAAAATGCCAACCTCCGCTAAAAGACCCTATCGTCGAGATTCCATGAGGGAGGAGATTGATATTCCGGACTCCTCACCTTCTCGCCCTCCGAAGAGAAGAAAGAGGGTAAGTTTATTTCATGATGGCGCATATGCCATTCCCACTAACACGAGATGTAGGCTTCAGAACCCAATCCTAAATCCAAACACTCAACCTCAAACCAACAACCCGTCCCCAAGATGGAAAACCAGGAAGAGATTATCTTTAAGCTCAAGAAACATTTGGGATTACTTGGTGTCGTACAAGTTCTCGACGACCACGCGGACGACAAATATGAACAAGAGTACGGCGGAGGAGTTCAAGCTTTCGCAAAGTTGGCTGGAAATGGTTGGACTTATTACGTCAAGGATCAGGAGGTCCAGATTGGGCGCAACCCGGCCGAGGGTCAAGAAGAAGTTTCAGGAGCTATTGCTGAGGTCGATATTGATCTGGGCCCGAACAAGATGATTTCGCGACAACATGCCAGAATATTCTTCGACGATGGCTGGCGAATTCAAGTCAATAGCCGCAACGGAGCCAAAGTCAACAGCACAAATCTTACCCGCAATCATGAGCCAAGAGAGTTGCATAGTGGAGATGTGATCAATATCTCGGGCATCGAGATGATATTCGTTTTACCTGGTGGTCCCTTCAAAATCGATCCGGAATACCTGCGAAAAATCGAGAGTACCGGGGACGATGTAGAGGAAGCTGATGAAGTAGAGGACGTAGAGGACGTAGAGGATGCTCAAAGATATAGCGAGGAACCTTCTGATGTCCCTTTGCCCCCTTCAACTAATGGAGCCCGCACTCAGAATGGAGTTCCACAAGCGATTGCTCCAGCGCCAGCTAATTGGCAACGTGCTGCTACTCCTCGCGCTTCCCTCAAAGTACCAAGTTCTGCAAGGAGACCCCATACTGGTTATTCGGCTGGTGGTACAATGATCATGAATGATTCTGAAAATGTCGACCTCAGTCTTGATTCCAATCATCATATCAAGCCTGGTTACAGCTATGCGCAAATGATCGCGCAGGTAATTTTTGAAGCACCCAATCAAATGTTATTACTGAATGGTATTTACCAAGCCATTATGGCCAAATACGCTTATTACAGATTTCAAGCACCCGGCGGCTGGCAAGTAAGTTACCTAGCATCTATCTCATCCTTTGATTGACTCAAAACTAACGAGGTAAAAGAATTCTATCCGCCACAACTTGTCACTTAACCAAAATTACGACAAGATCCCACGTGGAAAGGACGAGCCCGGCAAAGGTAAAAAGTGGTTCATCAGGCCAGCGTGCTATGAGACAATCGCAGCACTCGCACAATCAGCTCCTGGTAGAGGTGGTGGCCACCGAGGATCTTCACAGCCAGTATCACCAACCACCGCTGCCGATCGAGGGTTTGATGATGAATCCAGCCCGGATTCTGTCGTTCGAAAAAGGAAATCTTCAGCTTCACGCTCACCCCGTGTGAGGCCACACCAAACTAACAGACCGCAATTCACTCCCGAACGGGCGCCCCGGATTCAAAACTTACAGCATGATTTCCCCGGCGATGGAAGTCCACTACCTAGACATTATCGACGAGTTCAGAAGAACGCCCCTGGTCTTTCTGATAATTTGCCCAATTCTCCACCCACCCTCTCATCTTCTTATCAACAGGATGATGGTAACACGTTTGTCACGCCAGCCCCCCATCGTGTTTATCCTCATTTAGCACCGCCAAGCACTGCGCAGCGACCAAGTCAACACATGCCAACTAGCTCCCCTGCGCCATTTTGGACATTCGCTGACGGTACTCCTAATCATGGATTTCGTGGTTATGATAATAGCCCTATCAAAAGGTTTCAACCTAGTGTCATTCCTGATAGCAGTCCACCTCCAATGCGACGGACGCCCGCTCCGAGTCCTATCAAAAATTCAATTTTAGGAAAACTTCAGATGCCAGATGTCGATGAGGTTGAAGAAGAGGAAGAAAAAGGGTTTGATCTTACAAAGTAGGTTTTCTCTCCGTCTTCCTATTGCGAGAAATATATTGACAATTTTATTAGGGGATTCCAAAGTATTTCTCAATTCCATCTCGATAGTGTTGCAAAACTTGCTGCGACACCTGTATCGGGCTCTCTTGCGGCTCGCATTTGAGTTACCTCGCCGATATGAATTGTGTTTGCAATTGTTGAATTTGTTTTCTTTTTACCTCTGCACAGTGTGAGAGGACACCCCACCTACTTGCTTTGTTTGTAAGCACATTACTACTATATCAACGGTTATACCTCTCGGCCACTCCACCAACTCACCTTCACCCACACATATTTTTATTTACATCGATTCATAATATGGCGTTATGTAAAGGAGGTTATCGAATTGGAAGGTTATCTGAATTATGTTACATTTTCCCCACGAGTCTTATATGTTAAGGTTGGGAGTATGGGTTATGCTTTTTGTTATGTACATTTTATGGGTGGGATTAGAATCGGTGTTTAATTAAAATGGGAAAGAAAGGAATGGAAAGAGAATGGGGGGAATATGGGGATTTGCATTTGATATTTGGTCTTTATGATGGATGGGTGGGCGGTATACTTTAGACATGGTCGGTTATGATTCAATGGATATGATGAGTGGGTAGGAGCTCGTGGGGAGGAGGACAATGGATTACTGGTGCCGCTAGCCTGGCTTGCTTTTTGGGAATGTATGTATATAGGAAGGTGTATAGGATTGAGGCTATTAGTTAGGCTTTGATATCAAATTTGCTTGGAACTCTTGTAAGAAAGAATGTTGAGAAGCGATTGAGGATGGGGAAGGGTATGATGTGAGTATGGTAGGTATGGTGTCCTGAAATTCTTGATGAGTGATGTCTTTCTCGTGTATATTTGTTTTGTGTATATTCAACATGAATAAAATGTATCGGGAGACTTTGAATATTCAACTATTCATTGTTGGAGAAGGGCTCAGGGGGAGGGGTGGAGAGATGCAGAAATTGAAGGTGCGGAGGTGTATAGGTATACTGGTATAGGGGAGTAGAGGTGTAGAGGTAGGAATGCCTAGAATGATTGGAGAGGAACCTTGAGATGATGGGGTATGGTATGGATATATGAGATGGGATACATGAGGTGAGATATATGAGATGAGGTGAGTCTGGCTAGGTCGGCTAGGTCGTCCTTGGTGAAAAGAGATGGGCTGTGCGAAAGAGGGATTGTGAGGGTATATATTAGGTATAGGGTATGGGGTATGGGGTATATAGGGTTTGTATGTATGTGTGTGTGTGTGTGTGTAAATTATAGATTATAGATGATAGATTACAGACAGATGTGAATGAAACTACAAATATGGAATATGAGGTATGGAATATGAGGTATTAAATTGAAGCATTGAGCATCATATATCTCGAGGTTTGTGAGATAGACGGGGTGGGGTGGGTCGGAAGTGATGGGATGGGGTTGGTAGATAATGTAAATACGTATCCGAGTAGGTAAATAGGTATTCAATGAATCGTGGAATGGGAGGAAATCTGCTATATAGAGGTATGCAACTGAGAATGATGTATTGAAAGAAAGACTTTATTTACAATCATGTGTATGCCTCTCTCCCCCACCCATTTCGATACTAGACTTTATGGAAGGGAAATTTTGAATCTTGGCTTCTTTGCAATTCTCGTGTTGCGAAATTCTCCTCAGATAGGCTAATATAATTATTGTGATACCAAAACGCCCTTTTTACAAATCCATAAACTCCATCCTTCCTAACAAAGATTGACTTTTCATGACGTGCTTTTTGGCAAGTCCTTGTAACATTGCTGATCCAGGTATTGTCGATTCGAAGGAGGTCAGATGGAATAATCTCGTTGCTTCCAAACCAGCTTCTGGTGGCCAGCCGCAAGCCATATGTGACATCAATCTCAAAATTGGGTGTTTTCACAATCCCCTCAATCATCCATCTCCATATCATCAGCCTCCTCCACACCACCATCAACCAACTCCTTGAGCCTGATCTTCTGCTTTCCAAACACACTTCTTTGCTCTCTCTCCAAATCCAACTCGTTGACCTCTTCTCCCAACTCCTCGAGTCTCTTCTTCTCGCTGCCGCGCATCTTTGGTAGCAAGTGCTCATTCTCTGCAACCAATTTTCGGTTGGCTTCTCTTTGTCTGGCCACATTGCCTTCCATGCGCTTCTTGTAGAAGACACGTTCGCGACGGGCCCGAATTTCGGATACACGTTGCATGGCTTTGAGGGTAGTGGCGATGTGTTCACGGTTGTAACGAACGGGAACGTTGCGGCGAGCGGAGAAGTTGAGGGTGCTGTCGACGACCATTTCTTTGCCCGCGGCTTTGCGGAATGCTTTGGTCCATTTGAGTTTACGGGGGTTACGCTTCATTTTGAACTAGAAGAAGGGAATTGTTAGTTAGGGCTTGGGGATTGAGCATCGGAGAGACAGGTGCCATGGTGAGATGGGGGGGGGGGCTGTGGCGTTTTGGATTGGAGGAACATAGATGTGCTTGAGACGTACATTCTTGTGGCATTTACTGCGGCAGAATCTAAAGGTTCGCGCATCGTTGCGAACGAATGTTATGCCCTTACTTGGGTAGCAGGGCTGCGAGCAAAAATAACAGGTTTCGATTCTATTGATGAATTAGCAAAAGTAAAGATTGCGATAAATGTTTTTATCGTCAAAAAGATTGCAAATGCGATTGAGATCTCGAAAGTCCAAGAATCCAGGAAAGAGACTTGATGCAATAGATGATCGGGAAAGTCTCTCACCTCATGTTGGCGGTATTTCTTTCTGAACCAGCTTGTCGTTGTGCTGGATTGTCGATGGATAAGTATGGACTTCAGAAATTTTGGAGGAATGTCCGACTTTTTTCACTAGCGCCATCCGATAAGATAGCGGTGGCACGTGCTTACCATTTGAGATTCTCTCAAAACAAATATCCCCTGTTTGTCTCTGTTGATTTTATTATTTTTTCATATCGAAGAAGGTTCTCAAATCCTTCTCCTACTGTAATTACATAGTCGACTTCATCAATGATTACGGTCTTTTGTTGATGTGATGATCTCTTACATTCATCAAGTACCTCTTGTGACCAATTACAGTAGCGAGAAATTTGTACTTTGATATTTTCCTTCAAGAATCTTTAAGCTCGACAACTCAACATTGACGGTTACAATGTCGCTCTATTATGAGGCAGCTGAAGTTCTAGCTGCTCCTACTAATCAAGGTGGTAGTTTAAGATCAAGAATTTTCAGCAAGAAAGATTTAAAATCACAACCAGCTCAAATCTATGCTCTGGCGATAGAGACGTGTAAATGGAGTCCTGTTTTGAAGGATGTAATCGAAAATGCCGATTTATTACGTTTAGAGCGAAAGGTCAGTATTGCGATAGATTGAGACTTTGAAATAGTAGCTAATGTTATTTATAGCTAACTCCAACTTTGTCTCTTCTTCTCGTCCATGACTTACTCTTGGCAAAGAGAGGAATTGCTCTCCCAGCTACTCATGGTTTACGAGCCTCAATTGAGCGGCATAAGGGGAGATTGCAAGCCGAGTTGACCAAGGCAAGACTTCGGAGAAAAATGAGTACCATGGAAGCTCTAAAAGCGTATGTCGAGACGGGTCAGGAGAATGCAACTGATACATCTGAAGCACCTTACCCTCGTTGGATACGTATCAATACTTTGAAGACTACTCTTGAGGATCAACTCGAATCTACTTTTGCAGGATTTGAGCGTGCAGCGACGATCGATGCTGTTAGACACCGGGGGTCTAAACGCTTATACATCGATGTTCATATTCCAAATCTCATTGCTATATCTCCAAATATCGATCTCTCAAGGAGTGTAGCATACAAATCTGGAGAAATTATCTTTCAGGACAAAGCGTCATGTTTTCCAGCATATCTTCTTGATCCTCTTGCTGAAGATGGTGATATTATCGACTCTTGCTCAGCGCCTGGTAACAAAACCACTCATATTGCGGCTATTCTAGTTGATCGACTTCCTGAACCAGATGAATCTACTCAAGTTATTCACGCATTTGAGAAGAACAAAGGGAGAGCTGAAACTCTGGAAAAGATGGTCAACTTGGCAGAGTCGAATACGTTTACTACACTCCATGCTGGATATGACTTCTTGAAAACTGACCCAAATTCTGGTACATACAAGAATGTTGGTGCTTTATTGCTGGATCCCAGTTGCTCAGGAAGTGGAATTGTTGGTCGGGATGATATGCCCGAATTACATCTACCAGGTATTAAAGAAATCGTTGCCAAACCTTCCAGAAACAAAAAGAAGCCGAAGAAGGCACCGGAGCCAGTGGAGACAAGTAAGAAAGAGACAAACAAGAAACGAAAGCGCGAGGAGGATGGTGATGCGTTAGAAGTGATGGTAGATGACGATGGAGTCGTTACTGCTGTCGATAGCGATGCCGAACTAAAGGCTAGATTAACTGCTCTTGCAGAGTTTCAGTTGGAACTTCTTCTTCATGCATTCAAGTATCCTGCTGCTCGAAAGATCACCTACTCCACTTGTTCAATTCATGCCGAAGAAAACGAATATGTCGTTCAAAAGGCTTTAGCTTCTGATATTGCAAAAGAAAAGGGTTGGAAAATTCTTCGTCGTGATAATCAAATCCGGGGCATGAGGGAATGGCCTGTTCGAGGCTCTATAGAAGCATGCGATGGTGATGAAGTGGTTGCAGAAGGATGTATTCGAGCCAACAAAGGAGATGAGCATGCTACCATGGGGTTCTTCTTGTCAGGATTCGTGAGAGATCAAACATCAACTGTGGATCCTGAAGCCGGACTCCTGAGAGATGAACGCGGGCATATCGTGCGCGACTTGATGGGGTTACCAGTCAGAAAAGACAAGGAAGATGCAGAGATATTGAACGTCGATGCCCAAGTGGCACCCGAGGAAGCTCAAGACTTCTCACCGGAAGACGACGATGAATGGGATGGCTTTGAGGAAGAGGTTGCACCGATAGTCGAAGAGAAAAAGGAGGTGCAGGCAGTTATTGAGAAGAAGAAGGAAAAGGCGAAGGTCAACAAGCATGCCCATGATGCGATTAAGAAACGTGTCAACATGAGTGTAAAAGACAAGAAACGGCAGAAAACAAAAAGATAATGTAAAACCTATTAGCGGAGGCATTGTATATTGAAATGGGATGATGTTGTGGAATACCCATCGTCACTAATATTAATCAGATGATATAAATGGAGATGGGGCTTTGCCGTCTCACATTGGGTTCATTCGTATGACAAGCGCTCGGGATTCAATCTTGAATATCAACTCTTCCTCCGGGACGGACACGGAATAGGAGCCAAAAGCCCGGTTTCTTCAAGATGTTTGGCACATTCTAGATATAAGCATGGCGATAATTATTACATCCGCTATTGCCAAGATTCATTCGGCTATGTCGGCACCTGTTAGACTAGAATCTACTATGATACACATGATACACTACACATCGGCGCACGGAGTAAGCTTGAGGAAGGTCGAAAGATCGTTCTGTCAGCTACTTAGCGGGATGAAAGGAATCCAAAGCACGGATGTTTACCCCATTTGGAGATTTCGATCCATGGATTCCATTCACAAAATTGAACTTTACTTTTTTCCCATTTGCATAACCCCAACTTAGGCTATTATCGATCCACTAAAGGGTACGTCCTTAATCAGACTTCATGACATTCCGGGAACAATTTCCCCCGGTTGTGTATATTTTCAATAGATGCATTGCATAATGCCAATTGATCAGCATAACTCGCATAAATGCTTAGGTATCTCCTCATCGGATGTTCAATCAGCGGTCTCAATGAGTCAACAAAAAGGTGCTGTTCAAATTGGATTTCAAATGATGTTATATTGCAGATCATATATAATGTGTGTCGTGCGCCGCAAAACGTTTTGAGTATTTTTGAGCATATTCAATCTCGCATTTCGGTGTTCAAATACTACTTTGGCAGGGTTGCATTTAACCACACCTTCCTAGATACCAACCCCAAACTCGAATAAATTCGTAACAACATCATGGTTCGAACCTCAGATTCTGGTTCTTCAACTACAATAAATATGGACAGAGATTTGGAAGAACAGAAAAATGTTCAAAAAAAGGCTAGACATTGGGAGTTGGTATTCGATCAGATACATGTCACGCCCGAAGTACTCAATTACCCTTATAGAGGATCTGGAACAGAACAGGATCCTTATGTGGTGGAATATATTCCCGGCGATCGCAGAAATCCAATGAATTTTACCATGTTGAAGAAATGGACTATCACTTTACTACTTGCCTTTGTAAGCTCTCCCCCTTTTTGCATTAAGGTTTCGGTTATTATTTTCCGAAGTTCAAGCTGTGTAACGGATGGGGGTGAGACATATATACTTCTCTTGCCCATATACTAACTTGTGATAAAGGCAACATTGGCAGTATCTTTCGTGTCTTCAGCATATACAGGTGGGGTCGAACAGATCATTAAGGGTTTCAATGTCAGTACGGAAGTCGTCACTTTAGGAGTCTCGCTTTTCGTCTTGGGTTTTGCGATCGGACCGCTTATGTGGGCTCCCTTGTCAGAATTATATGGTCGACAGGTCCTTTTCTTCGGTACTTATGCTATGCTTACTATCTTCAATGCTGGGGCTGCCGGAGCACAAAATATACAGACGCTCTTGATCATGCGATTCCTCGCAGGAGCTTTTGGTAGCTCTCCTCTTACCAATGCCGGTGGAGTTATTGCCGACATGTTCTCTGCTGCTCATCGAGGAGTTGCTATGAGTATCTTTGCCGCAGCGCCATTTCTAGGCCCTGTTATTGGACCAATTGTAGGTGGCTTCTTGGGAGAATCAGAAGGTTGGAGATGGGTCGAGTAAGTTGCATCGTTTAATCAGTATTCCTACTATGATTCTAACACTATCAATAGGGGACTCATGGCCATCTTCACCGGTGCACTCTGGATAGTTGGCACCCTCACCATTCCCGAAACTTATTCCCCAGTCATCCTTCGTCGCCGAGCAAACAAGATGTCCTCCATGACCGGAAAAGTTTACAAATCCAAGATCGAAGTCGATAACGGCTCTAAATCTATATCAGCAGAATTTAAAACGGCACTCTCAAGACCTTGGATCTTGTTGTTCACAGAACCTATCGTGTTCTTGTTAAGTTTGTACTTGGCCATTATATACGGAACTTTATACATGATGTTCGGAGCATTCCCAATTGTGTACCAAGTTGGACGCGGATGGAGTGCTGGCATTGGTGGATTGGCTTTCTGTGGTGTTGCAGTAGGAATGATGATTGCAGTTCTTTACTCAGTGTGGGACAATAAACGATATAACGCTACAGCTGCTAAGCATAACAACGTAGCTCCACCCGAAGCTCGACTTCCACCTGCCCTGATCGGAAGTATCTGCTTGCCTGTTGGTCTCTTCTGGTTCGCATGGACAAATTCTCCAAGCGTACATTGGATTGTCAGTATTATAGGCACTGCTCCCTTTGGATGTGGGATGGTGTTGGTGTTCTTGAGTGTCATGAACTATTTGATTGATGCGTATGTTCTTTATGCCGCTTCCGTTTTGGCGGCCAGCAGTGTTCTTCGTTCCTTGTTTGGTGCGGCGTTCCCGCTCTTTACTACCTGTAAGTATTACCTAAAGTCTCAATGGCTGTGTGTCAAACAGTTAACTAACTGTATGATTAGATATGTACAACAACCTCGGCATTCATTGGGCAAGTTCAATTCCAGCTTTCCTCGCATTAGCCTGCGTACCATTTCCATTCCTCTTTTATAAGTATGGAGCATCCATTCGAATGAAGTGCAAATTCGCGGCGGAAGCGGCACGTGTATTGGCGGAGATCAGGGGAGCTTCTTCAAATGAAGATGAGGCGGAGCAGACAATAGAGGACATGGAGGAACGGGAAGCGAGAAGGTTGAATGCTCACGACGAAAGCGAGAAGAATGAAGATGTGAAAGATGGAGAGAAACCCGAAAATAAAATCAGTAAATGAGAAGGAGAGTACGACTTTTTTTGAATTTTTTAGTTCAGCGGCATAGCGATCGAGGAGTTTTGATGTGTTTCCAGGTTACGTTTAGGATCATAATAGAAGTTAGCATATTGAAGGTGTTGGGAAGAGGGAATTACACGGTTATGTATGATTTGAGGTGCTGTTTCTTATTTTAGATATCCCATGAAGCATATGATGGACACCCGGCTCGAAAGTAAAACTATATTTTAATTTAAGAACACAAACGGTCCTGAATGATGGTGTAGGAAGCACGAGTGTGATGCGGCTTTGAATTCCTCCCTGAGCCACATCCGTGCACAGGTCCCCCCATATTGCATCCCATCCTTTTCCAACCTTCAAAACCCATTCATCACAGCTTCCTACCGAGATTTACAACATACCTATCGAATTTTGATACAGCACAAATTGTAGATATGCACCGCACGTTACGAAACGTTCCTGCAAGCAATGGAAATGCGGATGGGCGGTACCGAATGGCCAAGTCAAACCCCCTTTGAATGCTGAGCTGTTGGATTGATGTTTGCTGGAGACCTCAAAGCCGCCTAAGCTGCTGAATTCAATAGTGAATGCAATTTCAATATTACATGATCTGATACAAGTCTCGATTTCTATCGAAAATGCTGCAAGGCACGTTTTTGTTGTATATTGTCAGCAGAATCAGGCCGTCCATATAATATATACATTAATTTGATTATTGTGTACCTGCATCTATCACCAACTTTTGGCAACTCATCGTCACATCCATATCTGGACAGTTCCCATCGAATTGCCATCAATCTTGTCTAAATGTCAGGTGGCGCGTCCTCCATATGGTTTTGTTGGGGAGAGGGAATCTTGATATACCGTTCCGCTGGGTCATCATGCCGCGAAGCCGCATTATTGATTTGATATCACACTCCTTATCTTGATTCATCCGAGATTATGGGGAACTACCCCCAGATCCTCCGCACCGTTCTACATAACATTCTATCTTCGTTGTTCGGTACTGATGTGGTTTGTAACATTCACTTGATTCCTTAGATTAGAAAGGTTTCTATAATCTTATCTACATCATGTAGGCCCTTTTTGATTTCGTATTCCATACCTCTGTCGTTACACTTTTGAAAATTTATCCAATAATCATTTTTAATCATGGTTTCAATCCTCCCGGATGGAATGTCAAATATGGAGGCAACTATTTCGTTCTTGGTCATAGACACAATAGCTCTCATTCTACGCGTCATTTCCAGAATACAGACAAAGGGCACGACGACGACCGGGCAATTCATCCGCTATGATGACTGGTGGATTCTTATAGCTTATTTGATGTATGCTTCGCATTGTATTGTGATTATTTGCGGCGAGTACATACCATCACCAAAGCAGGTAATTCGTGCTAACTGCATCGAATAGACATCACCAAGATATCAGGCACCCTCGAGCCATATCTAGTCATGAATCCAGATCATCGTTTGAAAATGCTCGAGGTAGAATCCCATATATAATCTAGCTTTCTTTAGTAGTCCTGAGCTGACACTCATACAGTTGTTATGGATTGGTTCCATTCACTTTCCCTTCATCATCACGGCCGTCAAAATCTCAATATTATGCATGTATCGCTCTCTATTCAAAACAACCCCAAATCTCATTCGATGCGTGGATATAACAATGGGTTTATGCATAATATGGTTCATAATCACTGTATGCTTGACGGTGTTCGGATGCACACCTATTGAAGCGGCATATAATCTAGCCCTCAGACTCGAACCCACTACACATTGCATTCCATACGGAGAGATAGTTCTTGGCTTCGAGCTACCCAATGCAATTTTGGATATTGTTATTCTCGCCTTGCCTTTCTTCGTCATTAGAGACCTTCATGTCCCTGTACGGAAGAAGGTTCTCTTATTCTTGGTTTTTTGGTTCGGTGGGTTGTAAGTAATTTCGTCCTTTCAACGGCGCGAGTGACATGATATTAACTAGCTTGCAGCGTTATTGTGACATGCATACTACGCATAGCATACTCATATCAGCCTCATGATCCAGAGCATTGTAGGAAACGTGAGATCATTTCGTTCTGGAAATTACTAAAGTCTATTTAGTTTCTGGATTCTCGACTGCAAACGAGTGGTTGATGATTGAGGAAGGAAGCGCTATTTTAGGAGCATGCGTTCCGACATGTATGTTTGCACGAAATCTATTCTTCGGTTCAAACTTCCTTCTTTCATTTTGTGCTTCTTTTTCATCTCCTACAGCTACTTCAACGCTACCATTTCCGTTATTGCTCCAAACTATTTTTTCTCATCGACAGTTACTGATTTCTCTATTTTTGTAGTTCGACCCATACTCAAAGCGTATTTTAAACTTCCAAAATCTGTCAGCGACTGGTTCTCTTCAACACTGGGTGCTTCAACATCAGCGAGCAAATTCTCCAAAAATCATTCGCGAATCACAACTCAACCAAGTCAGTTCACCGATCGACCTGGACCTTCATCTGGACCTTCATATCAGTTGAAAAAGCTTTCAACAGCCCATCTTCAACGTGGGAGAGAATGGCAGAATCAGGACCTCGACACAGATTCGGATGAAAGTCCACTGGTTGACAATAGGATTTGGGTTACAAGGCACATTACAATTACCAAATAGACAGGTTGATCAAGCATTAGGTTTTGTCATTAATCTTATAATTTCATTATTAGTCTTAATCGATAGCTCACTGCCTACTTGTGACTGTTTCTAGCCTGTTCGAGATAAGTGTTCGCTGGAGCTAAGATGGAAAACGTTCCTTTTTTGGTATGCTTACACTCAGGAATCTCCTTCACTTGGTCTAAGTGAAGCAATTATTTGCCCGTTCCTAATAATTTGATCCAATCTCGTCTTATTCACGCATTTTGGAAATATTCAAGTCGGCTTTATTCACTATGGGTCTCTCTTCCTAGGACAGATTAGATCAGATGACATACCAAAAAATGCATCTTTTAGGTATGATTAAATAAGCTTTCTGATTAATGCTGAATACCTAGGAACTATATACTGTTATACATCAGTCCTCGAATCATATTCCCAGAGAGTCTTAGGAAAGTGAATAGTCATATCAAAGAGTTGGTAATTCTAAGTTGGAAGTATCTGATGATGGCCGTGTTGGCTGGAAATGATCTCACCAGAAGGCTATACCAATGATTTTTAATTGTAGCACAACAAGCGGCTGTAAACTTTGAGTTTCGTACTTGTTTATTAACATGTTTAAGACCACTTTTACCACAATTTTCGAGCCTGTTTACGAATTGGTTGGTAATTCGTTCTCCAAGACCTTCAGTTGGGAATTGCGCCACCATTATCAGAGGACCTTTTGCGGTCTACGAGACATTGACCTCATCCGTTCTTACTTATTCCAATGTCGAAAGGCATGTTAGAGGGCTATCAGTTGCGATTCTACTACCAAAACCCATCAATCTAAATTTGATACTTGAGTATAAGAATGGCAGGACTGCCCACCAAGCGAGAATAACATCCACATCCAATTTACTCAATCGTCATTACTACGACTACCTAGGTATCTAGTATCGAATTCATCATATCGACTTTCATTTGCCAGTATCCAGTGCTTTACATACCCTAATACCCTCAATAATCATACTATTATAATCGTCAACATGTTACACAACTCAGCTAGCCAAAGGGACAGATACGGCAGAACTTCACGACCTACAACAAAATCTTCGGCTGCTAAAAGAGGAAGGCGTGATTCTTCTGTTGAACCATCCTCGAGTGATGAAATGTCAGATCTTGATAGTGAGCTTATTGGAAGAAACCTGGATCCTAATGCCTCTATTCGAGAATACTTTAAAAAAAAAGATGAAGCTCTCAGCAGACGGGGCCCTCCACCAAACCGTCATGGAAATTTCTTGGAAGATGAAGACCTGGCGAGTTATGGAATTTTGGGAGAAAAGCTTCAGAAAAAGCTTCAGAACGAACGGTATCTGGAGGAAGAGAAGGAAAGAGAGGAGGAGGAAGCGCGGGCGAGAGCTTTTGCTCACAGAGAAAGAACGCTGCCTGGTACAAACAGAAAGTCTGCTCCTGCTCATTCTGAACCTAAAACACACCATCCCGCTCCCCCTAGCACAGATGCATCACACATTGCCGCGGCCCCTCGTAAGATTGGAACACCTGCCAGAGGGAAAGAAAGCGAGGATAATACTATTGCAGCCATGTCTGTATTGAACCTATCGGGAAATTCTTCCAAAGAGCCAGTCAGTAACAAAGCTGGAAAAGTACGCGAACCAAACGCTCAAGTCCGTGATAGCACTGCTAGTCAAGCTCTCCGATCTAAGTCTAACTATCCAGGATGTTACAAAGTCGCGAGAGATGTTCATTACAAACTAATACCATATGATGATAAACGTGCAAGAAAAGAGTTACAAGGCCGCAGTCGCTTTGTGTGCCAACTTTCTAGACGTTGCAAATATATTGCTTTCGAGAATGAAGGAGACGCTATAAAGCATATGGAAACCCATCTAGATGATGTTTGTAATTTCATTGGAAGTAGAGATGATAGACTAAAACATAGGGATACGTGCCCGCATCATGTAGGTCATGAGAGGAAAAAGAATTATGACAACGCTAAAGCTCGAAAATCGAGGAAGGAAGCAGATGGGGGAAGTCCAAACACTGCAAAGAAAGCAGGGAGTTCAGGTGCTCATGGGAAGCCATCAGGAGATCATACAGACAGCAAACGCAAACGACCTGCTGGAGGTAGTGGCTAGTTGAGCGATAATGACTTTGAGAGAATGGGGTATTAGTGGTGGACGGGTGGGTATTGAGCAGATGTGTAGATGTTCGGGCTCTTCGTCTTTTGATGGTCATATAGTTTAGCAGTATCAGTAGCAATCGTGCGAAACAACTTTAAGGGAAGTACCAAAAGCATTCATCCCTGGATCCATTTCGTCGTGATTAGTTGAAATACACCCATGACATATCACAACTTAACAGTTGTTTGTTTGCAACCTCAAAATGCAAGATGAGATTGATACCCAACACTGCATGATCGGCAGTCGAAAGTGCTTTGTTATATTACTGGAGAGGTCTACTGATATCCTGTTGTTCCTTATTTTTGAGTGTGTACTTTGAATCCACTCTATGCGCTAATTTAACGGCTTGCTATAATCAGCTATCAATTGCCTTAAACTCCTCGGGTTCTAGATCCTCATCGAAATTAGAACTCAGTCTCCAATATATGTACTATAACTCTATGGTCCTTTCCAATCTTCACTTCGCTGTATCTCCCACAAACTTCATTATTATATGCAGAGTTAAATAAATGCCCCGGCTCTCTTTTGTTATTCCACATATAGACTTCATGTCACACTACGCATATACACATTCCTCTAGCTCGAGGATTGATTGTTTACTTTCCAAATCCTATGTTTGAATTGATAGACCTTGCATATCGGATAGTGATATATTTATTGGATGTTAAATTAGATACCACACACGATATTCCAATCCTAACATAACAACATACCTAGTAACTACGATATTAGCTTTTTGGCTCAAAACATCTCGATTACCAAAATATAGATAAGTGACGCTAAAAAATCTCCGCTGTTAAATCAAAAATACTTAGAAACGAGCATATATAAAAGCGCTAGTCATCTCAACAACATGATTACGGTAGCAAAGAATTTTTTAGAAAACTGGCTACCTAAAGCATGAAGAAGCTCAGTAGAAAGATTAAACAAGCTAAGCATCTCGTATTTCCCTCCTCGACACATCACATCGTACCCTAAGTCAATAAAGTGTCAAGAAACGGTTTATCATAATACAGAACCCTATGCGGAGAAACGCAGAATCAAGATTACATAGATGGATAAGCTGAATAGGTCGGATATTTTTGAGACGAGATTAGGACTTACTATTTAAGATTTAGACGAGTAATAACAATAACCATGAGATACTAAATACTTGAAGAGAACGGTGATGAAGGAAGAGAAGAGGAGGGAAAGAGGTAAAACGCAAAGGAGTATCAGACAAATAATCAAGAGTATTGATTGAAAAAATATGAGAGAAATTAACAGCTGCTGGAGGACGTATTCAGTGCTCGAGGTTAGTTTGGGGTTGAGTTCGAGGTTGATGAAATTGAGACTTAACGTAATAAGATTATTGCCGAGAAACAGCAGTGATCATATCGAAATTCTCTCCGAGCTGAGGGAGTTGGACGATATCAGCATTATAATAGTGGACAGCTGATGATACACTCGCAAAGAATACACAGTATTGAAAAGTTTGCCTCTAAACACCCCAGAAACTCACTCAATGAAAAGACTCAACACCCAGGTTCTACACACCAATAAAGTTTCCAGAATCGTGGATTTGATCATTCTCTCGTATATTCACTCTCAACTTCGCCAACAATAGAAATATATGTCCCGAATCCAAAGAAAACCCCCACCGTCCCCAAGACGAGTGTTTCTCTCAGCTCTCCCATAAGACCAACACCCGACCAACAAAATTCAACAAGCATTCCTGCGGCTGATGGGGCGCTGTACATGCCGAAGTAAGATTTCTATATCCAACACCAACGAAATTTACAGTAGCGCTCCAAGGCTGAACATGGTAAGATTTAACTCTGCGTGAGATGAAAGAATCAACTGGTGTGCGTTTGTGATCACCACGTTGGTGTTGTAGTTTGTTATGATAGTTGGTGGCGCGGTATGAGTGCTTATTGGGGGCCACAAGTATGGGTTGTAAGCAGGACCAGAGATCTTGAGATTATGTGGTAAGAGGCTTTTGTCTTTCATGTGAATGGATACAAAAATCGCAGCGAGGTACTTGTTTCTGTAAGTGATAAACAGATATGTTACTTCAATAGGATTATCTTCGTCTCGATCAGTGAAAGTGGAAGATTCTCCCTGAACAGCAAGATAATGCATATCGATCTAATGAGTTTCCAATAATTCGGATTGTGTCCCGACAGTGAAGGGCTTAAAATACCTAAATCCAACCAGAATACTCAAATAGTTTGGAATACTAAAGTAATTCAGAATGTTAGATCGCGTTGAAATATTGAAGCTTCAACCCAGCCTATTGGACCGAAATTTTGAACACACCAATATGATAGCAGTAATTGTAATGGGCACAATAGCATAAAGAGTAGTATCGTGAGGCATCTGAAATACATTCCGCAGTTCCCGGCACTTGTCAATCCTTAATAAATGCTATATTCGACAGTTGGAGACCTTGGAGCGATCGACTGTTGAGCCATCACAGGCTTTCAGCGCGGCTACTATGTATGTCACTACGCGAGCTGATACTGCTCAGCTTGAATTTTGAATGTCACTGAATGTATTGGGTTCGAATTTGTAGGGCTTGAATATCTCTATCACGCAGGAACAATAATCCCCATTTTGCCAAAAAAAAAACATGAGTACCATAATATAAAGGCAGCTCTTTATCGTAAACATCATAAACGGGTCTCAGTGTGGAGGCATCGACCTTGTTTCGTACCTCCAACAACCTGCGCGTTTAGTGAAGCCGCGGAGAGATTAAGTAGCGCAAAATTATTTTGTGCATTAGAACCATATATCGCCATGTGAGACAACGTACTTTGGTAATAATTCTACTCATTGAGACACTTCTCAAAATAGTTTCATTTGATACTATGCGGCTCAAGTGAACTTTTGAGGAAAAAACATTCCATCGGATAGTCTTTTCCCAACCATTTCAAGACAGACATATGCTGGGATCACACCCAAGAAAACAAGATTTCTCAAGTTGTGATCCAGACCGTGTTTTCCCCAACCTATCATCACAACAGCCAGCCTTGTGTTCCGGACGCCACATCCAAACCAGGCTGTCTAAGCGCCGAGGTTGAATATCACCGAGTAGATTGTGACAACATGTGTGATTGTGTTCACAGAGAAATTCCACAAGATGGTTCATTGGAGAGCCACGGATGGATGGGCCTTCTGATAACGATTGCCATGTCTTACATTGGAGTGTGGAGGGGTAAACCCGTTACACCGAGCCTTGTCACACGTGCAGGCAGAAATAGTTCTTGCCGTGCAACCCCAAGATGCGCAAAATGTTATAAGCACTGCAACTGCAGTATACAAGTTTACAGCGTGGCATTATGATTGTTCGTATTCAGACAAGAGATCCCTTGCGTAAAAATGCAGAGCAACAATTCAATAGAAAACTAGATAAAAGGACACGAGAGAAGAGACAATGAAGAGAGTGATGCTCTTCCAGATTGTCTCGTGATTCAGTTGACGATGAATACCAACATTGTGATTATTGATGTTGTGCGATGATGACCTTTATTAGGATAAGTGTCAAACTTCTCAATAGCGCTGTCTTATTTAGGATGCGGATCAGATTGGCTTACACGCCCGGCTTGTGAGACCAGGGGGAATAAACGTTGAGCAAGATCAAGTAAGAGCTGGGATTTTGACTCCAGCTACTTCTCGGAGTGGCTTGACGGGCGTACAATGTTCCAGAAAAGAGCAGGCGGGACTATTTTCTGCAGCCTTCGTGATGTGCATTATTAAAAATAAAGTTTTGACAAGAGGACTTGAGAAGCATATCATTCCTGATATGTCAAGACATCAATGTGAAGGAAAGATAATTGAAGAGTCGTGCTGTATCATTGGTTCTCACACCCCACCACTATGGCTCGGCTGGAGGCATGTAATATTTTGACTTTGTATGCCCGCCGCTGCACGCCCAAGTAAGGCCAAGAAAGTGAATCTTACAGCAACATGGAAACAGACTATTTCCATCGATGATCACGCACTGGTTGTTTCAACGAAAAGGGGAATGACGTACATGAAAGTCTCAAGTAAATCGGTACTGATGATGTTGATCAGGTACTGACTCACAGAAATAAGAATGAGGACCTTTCAACATGAACATGAGGGGTAATTCAAAAAGGCTCATGACACGGTGACAGGTTCTTAGGCATCTTGATATGGGTCCTTGAGCATACATAGTGGGGACAATGAAGTGGGATGAGAGGAAAGGATATTTTTCCTTTCCTGCGCATTTGACGCAATCGAATACTTGAGATCCTAAAGTTGATGGAGAGTCCTCTGACTTGGAAGTGGAGTCTACACCGTAAGGAGAGGATAAGAAAAGGTGGATATCAATCAACGTGATCTGAAGTCGGGTATTAATCTAAAAACAAACAGAGTCCCCGGATCAACGACGACCCCATGGCCATCGACTCTCAGAATGATCCAGCTGGGGCCGATCAGGAGATATATCGATTTCATCGACTTATCGAAAGAAACATCGTCATATCTGGGCATTCGCGGTTGGAGAATAAACCGAATTGGTGGAACTTCATCATAGTAGTGGAGTGACTTCCAAGGCGACGAAGGATTTTGAAGTTTTGTTAATTGAATCCAAGTTTAATGAGTTTTGATGTGTTGTTTAACTGTTTGTTTGTTTGTATGAATGGCATAAAGTGATGGTGGCTGGGGATAATAAAAATTTACTGGATGAGAGCTTGTACACATATGTGAAATAGGCCTAATATTGGCCACAAAACGGATTTTTGCTTGGTTAAGCGATTGTTGTGGTCTAATGAAAGGCCCATGAACGCTGTAAAGCATGATAAGTATTGAATACGTGGTGCCAAAGGATTTCGATTGACCTAAATGATCAATGATCATATCATAAATGTACGGGGGGAAAGCTGGAATCTAGACATCGTTTAACATGACCTAGGGATGTTGTTGAAGGATTGGAGGATTAGGGCATACACAGGTAGGTAGTGTCCATTGCAAAGGGTTGTCTTTGATTTCTCGGTGTTATGATATTGTTGTTCCTAGGATTGCTTGGATGAGAATTGCCAATTCATAATTGACAATTCACAATTGACATCAGTATGTACTCGCGGAGTTGAGGTACTTTCGTCGTAATCGTAGCAGGATTGTCAAATATTGATACTGATACATATGGATAAATACTACCTGGGTATCGCCACTGCTAAGGTTACCCCTCTTATCCGAGGTTCCGCCGTGGTTTATAGTCTTGGAAAGTTAGACTCCAGGTATGAAGTCAAAACTCTTTCCTTCAAGGGCGGGATGTCCGCTGTCAAGCGGACCCTTCCTTCCCTCTCATGTGAATCACGATGTCAAAAAAGAAGGAAAGAGAAAGTTCAGATGATCTCGCCAATTGAGTGAAACCCAAATCCTCTTTTCTCCACCATAACCTTTCCTATCTAACATTCTGCAATTGGCCTCGCGACTTTTTATACTCAAACACGCTGTGTTGAGTTCCCAAGATGAAGCAAATTCTTCTCGTCGAATCGTAACTGTGAACATATGATTAAAGGCGGGGAGGATGGATATTCATCGGGATCGTTAGAACTGAGGGGTAAAAAAAGCGTGTCAAAATGTATGATGCCTTTTGGCTGAAACAAAAGCTATGAAGGGCAACTCAGGTTGGATGGCGGGGCAGCCGATACAGGACAAGGAAGTCCTCGCATCGCATTTGCATTATTAACTGCAGGAGCACCATCGGACTTTCGAAAAATGCAACTGTCAGCAGAAAAATGTATTTACTGGGATGATGGCGAATTTTTGCAGTTTGATAGGTGGACCTACTAGCTACTAGGGAAGTGTCCCTGAGTAAAGGTCATGAGCTCTGCGACCCCATTTTGGTGACAATTAACCCGCAATGTCCTGGTTTGGTTTAGTACATGATATATGTGCCTCTGATGTGCGGGAGATCTGTCGCCAAAGGCGGTACAGATATTGTTGATTGTTTGAAATCCTTTCGTAGATCCTGATAGGGCTTTCCATGTTTAGCTTGCGACTTCTTTCGAGGTGAAGCTTCGGATATTTCTCGATTTCCTGCTGTACCGTGTACTCTGTACGAGTGATCAATCAGTGGGGCATATGGAAACGAAGGGAAGGAGACCATCAATGATCGTTAAGACCTGCCAAACTAATGCTCGAGGTACATAAGTACATGCATGAGAATGCATGAGAATGCATGATATGCTAGAAAAAGCTATTCTATCAATGGAAGTGGGAAGAAAAAGAGAGATGATTTGTACTTTCGAGTACAGAATGGGGCAGATCAAGGCTATCTTTGCATGGGCGTCTGCATGATGATAATTACACCGCAGGAAATTGATAATCTAAGGTCTCGGCTCAGGAACACCTCTGCACCTCTAGATTCTGGAGACACTGACGATTTCTCACTTGGTAAGAGAAGAGATCAAAAATGGACCATACAAATTTGATAGATTTTGATATGCCGGGGCCGCAGATACAATAAGTTGGGCCTTGATGCAGGCGACGTTCCATTTGATCTATTCGTCCATTCAGGGGATCAGGAAAAGAGGGGGAAGCAATCGATGGAAGGGTGTGCTGACAGTGACTTTGGTACCTGTCTTTATCCGGTATATCTGACGTTAGCTATACCCCCCTCCATATTCTAGATGTTCAGAGTTGGAGGTCGGGAAATGTTCTTTTGCGGCTACTTCAAGTATAATCACAGTTGTATTCGGCGGTAAAAGAATTTTATAATTAGGTAGGCTCGGCAGGCAAAGCTGATGACTGAATTCTATATCGCTTAGCCGTAGCTTGGAATAACCTAGCTGTGGACAGACTACTTCATTAGTGACATTCGAGTTACTCGAGCGTGCAGTAGAAACGTGGTGGTCTCATGCACTATGAGTCCTTGATGGGACTTAGTTTGAAGCTTTTCATTGGCTAATCTATCACCAATGGATTGAAAGGTCTTTCGATCACGTCCTGCTTTCCTTCCGGCGTTGCCATCATTGTTTATTTACTTGATTTTGGATGAGTGACTCTGAATGCGGTAATGGACTGATTTTTTAAGGCTGGTGATGGAGATGAATGCTTGACTTCGAGCCACAATAAAGTGGAAATGTCACATGTCTAGTATGAATACTTCA